GAGTTCCTGCAAACAAAAACAATTCCTACACAAGAAGCCATGCAAGAGCTGGAAAAGTGGAGGGAATCATTGTCGGACGAGGTGACGTCTTTGGTGAAAGAGTTGGAGGTGGTGGAACCAACAACTCAAGAAAAGCTGGACAAATTGGCGGAAGAGCCTAATGCACCGGTGATTGAGTACGTTCCCAGTCTGGTGGTGTTTACCCGGAAGCAAGGGACAGGGAGGCGACGTGCCCGTATCTGTGCATGTGGAAACTTCATTTCGTCAACGGCAGCTACAGAATGAAGGGCCGAGGTCACTCAGTCGTCACTCGTTGTACGCTCCAGGTTTAGATTCAACTACATTCAGGTGTCAAGTGAGGCACGCAGCATATATGGTGTGGATCATCGCTGGCTTAGACATTTCCAAAGCTTTTCTGACGGCGCCGATGAATAGGGCGCAAAGAGAAGGGCGTTTGGTGGTGGTGCAGCCCCCAAGGGCGGCGGTGAAATTGGGTCTTTGCACAAAAGAGGAGCGGTGGATTGTGAGGAAGGCCTTGTATGGTTTGGCCGAAAGTCCTGCAGCATGGGTGGAGTGGCGAGACCAACGTCTTCAAGGGATGTCTTGGGTGTCAAAGGATGGACAAGCAATGAGCTTTCAGAGGTCCAATGCAGACCCAAGTCTGTTCCTTATTATGGCGCAAGAGAAGCTGGAAGGTACAAGCAAGTTGGTAGGGACAATGGGTCTTTACGTGGATGATTTTTTGATGGCTGGGACTATGACAGTGCTCCGGGAGGCCTTGGAACAGATTAGGAAGGAGTGGAAAACTTCTGAACCCGAGTTCTGTGGTCCAGGCTGCGGTGATGGATTCCTGAAGTTTTTGGGTGTCCAAATCTGGTATCGAAATGGCAGCTTCTTTCTCAACCAGGAGGACTTTGTGAGAGATTTGCTGAACCGACGAGGGTATCAGATCGATGAAACTGGAAAAGGGAGTAACCTGCCAATGGTGAAAGAAACTCCAGGTGAAGAAGAGGAGGTGGATATTCCTTCCTTGCGAGCGGCTCAAGGTGCCGTAGGGGAGTTCCTCTGGGTGGCAATCAAAACTCGACCTGATTTGGCGTTCTGCACGAGCCAGTTGTCTTTGTGGACATCCCGAAGGCCGCGATTTGTGGTTAAAAAGGCTGAGGAGGTTTTCCGATACCTTGCTGCAACTCCAACGTTAGGCTTGACGTTCGGAGCAATCGCAACATGCGAAAAAGAAAGAAATGAGGTGTTGCGTTATGGACGAGGCGTTAAGGTGGTGGAGTCCTACGCGGATGCCAGCTTTGCAGCAGGTGAAAACGAAAAGAGCCACTCAGGAGCGGTGGTGGTGTGGGGTGACTGTCCAGTGATGTGGGCAACACAAAGACAATCAACGGTGGCTTTAAGTACAGCTGAAGCTGAATTACATGCGTCCATAGAGGGAGCAACGATGATTCAGTCGTGCACCCCTATAATTGCCGCTTTGGTTGGAACAGGTGAAGAATCGCTGCAAAAAGTGCTGTATACAGATTCGGTCTCAACGTGCTCGATCATTCAATATCCTGCTGGAAGCTGGAGGACAAGACACCTGAGAATTCGAGCAGCCGGTGTCAGGTCTCTGGTGGACCGTGGTTATATGGTGATAGCGCATCTTCGCGGTGAGTATATGATCGCTGACCTGTTGACCAAATTGATGAGTGGACAGGTGTATGCAAAGCAAAAGGCACTTTGGGGTCTCCGACTGTTGGTACAAGGGACTGACTTGAAAAAAGCCTCGCTTGCAATGGCGGTCATGATGGTGGCTGCATCTCTGCAAGGGATGGCAATTGGTGGCGAAGAAGTGTCCACGGCTGGATTCTTTTGCTCAGAAGAAGGGGTGTGCAAGGTCGCCAACACGTCTACGGTGATGGTTCTGGCTCAAGGTATTGAAATGGTTGTCAACAATTCAGACCTTGTTGCATATTTGGTGGCAGCAATTATACTCTGGGAACTGGCATGGTGCCTCTTTCGACGGCTGTATAAATGGCTGTGGATAAAGAAAGCGGTGGTTATTCCTGCGAGTGCCACTTTGTATACAACAGTGGGTGGGAACTGTATGCACGCAAGCAGTGATTGTGATGTTCTGCGATATTCACAGCTCAGAGCTAAGACGCTTTGTAAGCATTGCCTCAAGGATGGCTGGGTGGTGAATGCTGAGTTCCTTGGTGAGGAACGAGCCGCTGGAACGTGAATTTTCCAAGTGCGAGGTGAAGAAATCCTCAATGGTAAAGGATTCAGCCAATGAGCTGAAGGTTCGTCCTGGATGACGTTAAACCATAATGTGCATTTCAAGCAGCTGGCTGCTGCCTAAATGGCGGTTTTTGGCCAAAGATCTGCACCTCCAATGTGTCCTAGGAAATCCTAGGACAGGGGGAGTGCGGAGCTGCAATTGGTATTGTAGAAAGGAGTTGGTATTGGAAGTTGAAGGGTCAATGAACCCGGTAATCTTTGGCTCAAGCCATGACCAAAGCGGTCAAAGGTTTCGTAAAAAGTGTGCCCTTGGTTTGGGGTCTTGCTGTTCGGTTGTTGGTTGTTCCAGGGGTAATAAGGGCTTCTGTTGGGGTTGACTGTCTTGTTCCCTGTCCTCCTTCGGTTGCCCCCCGTACCCTAAACCCTGAACCCTGAACCCTAAACCCTGGGTTCGTGTCCTGAGGCTCTGGCAGGGGACGCCCGGCGGCGCGCCGACCTCTCCCTGGCACCTCTCATGCTGAGGAGGGCTTCTAACTCCAACTTCAAGGGCTTTTGATTGCAGCGGTTCTTTGCGCGTCAAACGCGCCATAGGCTTCTTGTGTCACCTTTCTGCGATCACTTAGGTAAGTCCCTCACTGTGGGCAGGGCAGGCATGTGGGTCTCAGCACAAGATATTTGCAATGCACCCCTGCGGCAGCGGACCCCAGCAGTAAAGCCGAGTCAATGGAGCTGCTATGCTCTTGGGCTCACGGATATGTAGGGCTTTCCGGGCAGTGCTCGACTTTTGATCTGCTTCGATGGTGTCCCGTCTGTGCCATCAGTGCCGTACTCGAGCCTACGGGCCTCTACTGCTTTATAGAAGGTCAGGTGCTGATGAAGTCAAACGCCTCCCAACCATTCGGAGGACGCGCTCCACGGTGCCAAATCACAAATCTAAGCTGCCTTGACTCGCAGCCAAGCTCTGGGGAAAGAAGTTGGCCGACGCCTCGGGTAGCCCAGCCCGAAGCCGATCAACATCGTCAAACAAAGCGTCTGGCAGTCCTACGCGCGCAGAAACATCCGGGCCCTTGACTCTCTGCAATTTGCGCATGCCTTGTTACATGCCGGTGGCCTGCCTGCAGCTGGAGCGTTCAGGGCCATCTGATGCTGGAATGGCTGGGACCTCAACAACGCCGCCGCCAGTAGTTGAATGGGAAATGGTCAAGCCTTTCATATTCCCAAGCCACACCGGATCGAACACAATGCAACTGGGTGCTTTGAGGGTGGGATGGTGTCACTTGCGTTTGAAGAGGTGATCGGCACAAGCAACTTAGCAATGGAAGTTTGAACTTTTCATGGACATGAGCTCCACGGTCCCACAATCCCAATCGAAAGAAGTGAGAACGCGTCGAAACGCGTCCAAACATCAATGCTAACTCCTTAGACCAACGCTTGCACTAACAGGGCGCAGCAGTGCCGCCAGCACTCTGTCTGGTCTCGCTGCGCTGGGCTGAATTTAGTCGTGTGGCACCGATCAAGCGCTTTGAGAAAGCATTGAGTACGTAACATGACATGAACAAGCTGAGAAAGTTGAACAAGACACTGGGTTTCATCTTGGCTCTGGCCAACAGTTAGGGCGATCTGTACGTCTTCGTGGACTGGGTTTCATCAAAGCATGACCGGCATTATGTGGCCACAGTCACGTGCACACAATTGGATAACACTGGAGCCGAGACCGATACAGTCCTAGCCCCGTGCACACAAACCAGAACCCGAACGAACCGGCCTAATGTGAGTGCCAAACAACAGGCGGCCGCGAAAAGCATCCGAGCACCATCTTGTGGAGCCCCGCCATTGTTATGGGCATTTTTCCTTCTCGACTTGTGGAACTTGCGCGCATGCGCACGATCTTGTGCTTCCTTTAAGGCCCTGCTACCGAATCCTCACCTTGTCCATGTATTCGTGGGAAGTTTAAAAGGGTATTGGGTAGATAGAGAGCCTTTCTTGATGCGCGCCCTCGCAGATTCGCAACATCTCGAGAGGTGTTCGAACATCGCAACCCTGTGCAACATGAAAAGAGTTCTTGTGCAAACATCGGTCAGCTTGCCTGAAAACTCCATTTTTCGAACACTGGGATAGCAACGTTACTATTCTGTGCCTTCGCAACATGCCTGGAAAACGGCAATGTTCAAGCATTTGAAGTTTTTCGACAAGTGCACTGGAGACTCCTGAATGATCTAGTTCTGGACTTGATGTGCTTAGCAGTTAGCAGATCTTAGAACAAACGCCGCAAATAAGCCAACTTCCGCATGACACCACAACTTATGGAGTGCACAGCACAAGCTGCTACGCATAGGCTGCGTACTCCCGGCCAACCCTTCTCGCTCCCATGTCCGTGAGACGATGCGCATGATGCGCGACGTGCCCTGCAGAATCGAAGCTGTTCGAATCAGACTTCCAGCCTAAGTCCTGGAACAGGATGGCGCTACAGTCGGGTAGTGGGCTACAACCCAGGTGAAAATGCTGTGTCTCATGCTCACATTACATGAATTACATCCATCGTCCAGCTTCGGCGGGTTTTTCATGGTACCATCTGCCACGGCAGCACGCCGTGGCAGGCAACACATTGACAAGGTTCTTCGACGCTAAGCTTAAGGTTACGCAGACCACATGTGTCACATGTATGTCAAGGTCAGAAAAGTCAGCAGGCATTTGGCACATGAAATGTCACAACGTGTGGGAACACGACATGGCCCTTGCTGTTCTGGTGTCGTCTTTGTCTCATCATGCCCTCATTGCTGCGCCACCTGCAGAGACTTGGGATGCCACTTCGCACGTTCCAGCAGAGAAAGCAAGCCGAAGCCCCTCTTACACTCGACATTCGACAGCCGCTAGCAGCCAGAAGAACAATGAACCCCGAATCCTTTCACACAGCCGACATCTGCCCTACTCGCCTGCGGCGCCAGGCCGGATTGGCTTGAGATGCGCCGAGTGTCGAGCACCTGACAGTATCCCTGTGTGTGAAGAACCAATGAGCCTTGAGCCCGAGCCCCGACCGCTCTAAGATACGCTAAGGACGACCAGGATTGCAGGCCCCCTATTTCCAAGAAAGTGCAGCGCCGCAGCGTGGTTTCATGACAATAAGCGTGCTCTGAAGATGATGGGCGACACTTGCAGAGACTCCCTGATGTGCAAAAAACAAGGAATTACACTGCAGATGCAAGGCCTTCCGAGTCTCCAGGATGGGTGTGTTCGGCAAAGTGGGCGCGTTCCTGTGACTCTAAACATGCTAAACTTCGCAAAGCTTGTCAGATTGTTCTGGCTCCCGGGAAGTTCAGTCATTCCGGGGATTCAGTCATTCCGGGGATTGAATCCTAACCGTCAGTTGCATTGAACGGTGGGCAAGGATGGGAAAGCGTGGGGTTTCAGGGGCCGCTAGACATGGAGCGCACAGGAAGAGCCTGACCAGCGAAACGCGATCCACCGCTGACTCGAGCTTCCTCGCAGGCACTGCAGGCGCCGGCCATTTAGGCTGGTGAATGCTTTTGCCCTAGTCTGTGTGTCGCATGTCTCCGCAGCAACCGCACCAACTCGACACATGCCTCATGCAATTTCCATGTGTAGATATGAAAGTACCGAGTTCTTTGTACGCATATGCACGTTTATGGGGGACATGAACAGACATAAGTAAATAGGCCGATGGCAAAGAAGGATGGTCGACAGAACGAACATATGCATATGCAGGTTCTTCTCTGCTTGCACCATGGCAGCCTGTCAGGCAGCCGTACCGGACTATCTAGAGTTTGTTTTCGACTTTTCGACCCTGCGGTCGCTCCAACCTTAACACTTTGCAGATTAACGCTTAAGGGGCAAGCGTAGTAACAAGAAGGGGCCCACCCGCAATGCCTTTGCATGGGTAGCCAGGTAACAACCTGCAGACTTCTGAGGGCAAAGTCCCTGAATCTGCCCTTCTGGACAGGCAAGCAGCTCGCCGAGGCTTGCGTCTGGCCTGGATGGCCTGCTCACCGCAACACCCGCAGTGTACACCGAGAAAGTCATTTGCAGTCACTTCTAGACTGGATCTGCTGAAAGGGCGGTGCTAGTCTCAAAGCACACGTTGCGAAAGAATTCATGAGCTTAGAGGCTGCAAGCGAGCTTCGGTTGCTAGGCTGCTGCGAAACGTTGCGAAATCATGCCGAATTTTATGCAGAAAAGTTGGCCATGCAGAAAAGCGGGCCTGCGTCTCAGCTGCTCTTCAAGCTGCGCAACTCGCTGCTTCAGCTCTCGCGCCATGCCCTTTGCAAACGGCAACTTGGAAACACTGAACAAGAGCTGAACGTTGCAACACGACTCCAACTCCGGAGTTTTCTCTTCTTCTTGCTACTGCCGTCAGCATGTACGTAGCTCTGGGAGGGGTTTAGGCTTCGACCGGACACTCCAAGGCCATCACTTTTTAGCGGTGACAGTATGTGCGTGTTTTGGATGCCCTCAAAACGCTCCTACTCTGCAGCCATCGCCGGATGCGTGCTCCTGAAGCGACTAACATCTGGGCCGCTTCTAAGTGGGTAACCCCAACCAGTAACGGCCCGTTTCTTCCCTGAAACCCCAAACCCAAAGTGGCCTCCACCTCCCGGCGCCGCGTCTCAGAGGCCTGAAAATTCTCGGCGGTCTTGGCCAACAACTCCTCTGCAGTGCCAAGATTTGTCTTGATGACCAAAGAGTGCAGGTGGACATCAAGCACGCTGGTAGCAAGAAATCGTCAGAGAACCTATTCTCATTACTTGGACCACCTTCCTTTGAAAACTGCTTAAGAGGCTCAGGCCAAAGGCCACATGAGCCGACAGCCTGGTGGCTTTCACTTACGCAGAAAGCTTCTGATACACGATCGGCTCTTGAGAGCTTGCTGCCGTGACAGCGCGGGGGACGAGTTCGAGGGCACTCGCAGGCCGAGGACCCAAATTTTTCTTCACGTAGGTTGTACAACAGGCAGGAACTATGACAAGTCCTGCTCCTGCCTCTGCTCTTGTCTGAGGGCCCTCCTCCCATTTGGGGGGGACCGCCACATTAGAAACGATCAAGAAATGGAGGGGCTGGATTTCATAGTTGAGGCCTACAAGAGTGGACGCCCGGCAAATCGAGTGAAGGCTTTAAGAGGCCCCTGATACGCAGGGTTGCCGAAAACCATTTGAGCCGAATGTTGAACCTGGTGCCTTGAAAGCACAACTGGACAAAGACACATCTGTTTTTTTTCGTCTCGACATCTCAAAGACCACATATTTCTCAAAAACCCTCTCCACAACTCGTTTCCTTTTGTGAGATGATGAATGAGGCTCTCGACTGTTTTCTCCACCCAACAGACCCTGAGTTTCTTAAACTTAAGACATCCGATTTGGGCTCCCCTTACCCCTAGGAATACGAAGTCCGACCCCTCATGCTAAGTGTTAACGGAGAGGCGATGCGTTAGGGCCAGGGGCTCCTCGGCCGACTTTGCCCGAGCTTCCGAATCCTGGCGCTCGAGGATGGGTTCCAAGAGCAGGAAACTACGAGCTAGGATGCTGGCCCCTCACACGCATTGAGGACTCCGTTGAAGCAAAATAAGAGTAAGACTAAACACCGAGTGTTCTCCGAAAACATGGAGAGCACAATCTTAGTGGGTGGAGGAAGCGCCGCCCCCAGTGATCACAGTCGGAGTTTTGGAACGACGAAACCACAACCACCCTGTACCCCTTCTTCAGCACCCCTTATTCAGATTTCGCTGCTTCCAACCGGCACCTCACCTTGAACACCTGCATCACTTTGTGCCTTGAGTTGCTGCGCCGTCTCGACCTCTGCAGCACTTGATCTTCGCAAAGTCTGAATCTCCTGCAAGGCGAGAAAGGCAGCTCTGAGGTGGGATGGGCAGACTTTGGGCAGCCACAATTGGGACCACTTCTTGAAAGGATGTCTCGAGAGGAAGTGATTCGTCTTTGTAGTCACTTATTCGGCATTAGCAGGGACCGCTTCAAAGCACGCGATGCGAGTACCCGCGAGCAGGACATAGACGATCAAAGCAACTCAAAGGATGACCACAGACAGACTCCTCCGCGGCATCTTTCTTGTCCAGCATCTGCTGCTGAAGTTTGGCTTCCAACTGCACCACGCGCTTGGACAGCACATCTTGCATGTTGTTGGCCTGCCACGCAAGAGGGACCACTGTGTAATGAGCACTGCCTCTATGAATAAGTTGTACTGACTTGCATTTGTTTCCTAGACATGCAGTTTAGTCTGGCATTTTGTGTTGCCTTTTAGTTCTTGAAGCTTATTCCTCTTGGGACACAGGGTTGTTCAAAGACGGCGAGGCGGATAGCATGCTGAACATACTGCGTTTTCACCGGAAGCCCTATCGATTCTCGGCAGGGTGCAACAAAGCTTTCTGTGTATCCTCGGAGGGTCAAGGTTCCAGTGGTACATCTTAATGCAGGGAGTCCTAAGCTGTCTAAGGTCTCTCTAAGCTTGACTCTGTGATTTTCATGTCCTTCTCAAGGTTGTGTCAGTTTGTGTTGGATGTCTTTGCGACGTCTGAAGCCCTCCAGAAACTTGCTTGAATTTGCTTCGGTGCGAAGTGGGCAGCGGTTTACATACTACTTGGTACTGAAAAGGATGGATTACGCGGGACATCTCAACCGTTTGGCTCAATTGGGTTTAGGGATCAATCATTCAGAACTCTGTACGAAGTTAGGCATCTTGAGTCTTGCATCTGCCGGAAAAGAAGCTCTGCATCGATTTCAGAATAAAGCGAGTACGACATTGTCTCCACTAGGCATTGCTGTTGAATTTGCCTCCATATTCGTGATGATCACATGTAATTTAAGAATTCAAGGCTCCTCAGAAGTTGGTGGGGTGGAGTTCCATGTGGCAATTCTTTCGTTCTTCACGGCATTGACATTCACACAAACTCGCAACTCTGGCTCAAACTTGCGGAAATTGAAATTGAAGTTGAACCAATTCTTGCTGAGAATGCTGGCTGCGATTTGGACTTCCAGTCAAGATCTGTACATATGTTTAGGGGTTGCTGGGCTCCGTTTTGAAGCAGATGCAAGCTTCAAGACCCTCTGGCGCGGATCAGGGAACGGTGAGCCTCTAAAACCATAGGTCTAACACCAATGGCCACAGATCTGGAAGATAACACCACTACAAAAGTGACCGAAGACCATCTCGAGCTTTTCTCCCAGCTCGCCTTCCTCACCATCTCTGCATGCTCTTCGTGCTTCTCTTGCATGGCTCGCCGCTCCTGTCAGGTGCCCTACAAGGGGCCTTCCCCTGCTGACAATGCTCCGCTTGTTCAAGGCGGATTCTCCCTGTAGCAGTTCTTCCAAGGCACATTCTGATAAATCAAGCACAACACTTGGAGAAGTAGGTGGTTGTGTTCTGCATGGACACCGCGCTGTATGTCGTGTGTGCTAACAAGGCCATTTGCCAACAATGACAACCAGGCAGTGCGTGTCACAAGGTACGCACTTGAACCCTGGACGTGAAGCCAAAGATGCCTCAGATGCCTTTTGCACCCACGAGAGAGGGATAAGAGAGGGATATTCTGATTGGAAACAGGGAGCCTCGTCAAAGCTTGCCTGCCGAACCTTCAGCTCTTGCTGGAGACCAGCAATCTCTTGCTCGTAGCCTTGGCATTGACTAGCAGGCAGAACTCTGAGCTCCACACGTAACTCCACTATGAAGAGTCATGTAGGAGACACTTTTGATGGGAAACCTCGAAACTGATAGCCCTGTCACCTTCTCGAAGCGATGCCATATCAGTGAGGGCAAGCTGATACTCATCAGCCAGCTGCATCTGCCTTGCAATTGCGTATTCTCGCGGAGCATGCGCTAGGACGTAGGACACCTCCACCCGCCCCGAATCCAAAAAGCCCCCGATGTGTCTTAAGAATCCTTTAAAACGCCCGCGTCCGGGTCTGCCCCGGCCAATACAGGTCTACTTTGCAGGTGCGGGAAAAATGGCGACCCTACTTGGAATCTCCCTTCGATTCCACAAGTATGCTAAAACCTTGCCAGAGATATAGTTGGGCTCACATCTCAGGAAAGACCGAAATCTAGCCGAAATCACGGGTCGCTTGGTGCTGCTGCTGTTTCGCCAGGTCACGGTGAAAGGTTCTGCGTGTTGATAATTGTCATCGAACACTCATGAGGCCAGAACTGGCGATGCTTAAGACTCTTGATCTTCAGGGAGCCATGTGCCAGAACCACGTTGTGCATGGCAGTTAAACGTTCCTCATCGACAAGAGAAGAAGCCCTGTGTCTGCATCAAGCGCTGGAAGCCGTGTTGCGTGGGAGACACCGCCTCAGCCTGCCAGCGTACCGAAGAATCCGCATGACGGCATGCAGAACACAACGACCATGAAGAGTCCGTAGATTTGGCTGCAAGTGTTGCTCAGAGGCAGAGAGACAGGCTGGAGTCTCAATAGAGCTGCAAACGAAGCCTACACTGTGTGAGGACCAAGCCCTACCCAGGAACCCTTCTTGTCATCATCACAGCCCAGGTCCCCTTCGAAAACAGAACCAAACACAGTCTGGCCTGGATTCTGGCCGCCAGCTCCTCTCGAAGCCTGGCAACCTCTCATACACGTCTACACGATTACGTCATGTTGGCTTCGGGGGTCGCAGGACCTGGCTGAGTGACCACTGTACCTACTGACGCTGCTGGGCTCCAGCCCGGGCTTCATCTGAATCTGCGAGCCCCTTGAGCCTGCAACTCAACTTAGCGTCGCCTCTTCCTCCGCGGTGCTGGCGGTCACCAATTCAGCTCCTAGGGCAGCATTCAACTTCCTGAGCTTCATCTTTCCTGCAACGTCTTAGTGTCTTCTTTTTTTGAGGGAAGTTGCGGATTTCACCTCACCGAGGCATATTCCGAGTTCAACGGCGTGGAAGTTACCCCACAGGGCGTTTGTTGAAGGCTCTCAAAGCACTGAACGCCAGCATGCTGGACCTACTTGCATGCCAATTCACGATCCTACAGTTTCGGGAAGTCTCAGTGAGTTTCTAAAGCTTCACTCACTTCAGCTCCGCCCAATTGCAGTGCTACGCACATGTACAGCTCCAGAAAACCAGACACTATCAAGAGGAATCTTGGGGTGGAAGAGCCCCCCCCCCCCCCCCAACCTACTTATCAAAAGCCCGGATTGCCTTCATTATGACCCGTTGCGCTGGTCTGCATGCAGGTCGCTGAGGTCTGTTGCTTCTTGAAGCGCCTCTTTCAATGCATCCTGCATGCTGGTGAGATGGCCGTACCGTGCAGGCAACACTGCCGTCCCATTGCAGGAATTCTGCACACCTGACGTTCTTGGAAGGGCATTATTCTGCCATGCCTTAAGAAATATTCAACGTAACTCAAGAAGCAGACAGGGGGGGGGGGGGGAGGGGACTGTTAGCAGCAGCACAGCGGAGATGCGGCGCCTCGTGGCTTGAGAGGGCTTGCGCCGCTTGCGCCAAGCGGCTTTTGCCTCTTCAGAGAGCCCGGTGCGGGGGGAACATGCCAGAGGGAAATTCTGACGAAAGACTAGCTGCTGCACCAGACTGAGATTCACGAACGCCTACTGGCATCAATCCCTGCAGTCGGCTTGCACTCTTCATTCTCCGCTTCCAAGTCGGCAAGTTTCTGCTGGAGATTCGCCTCCTGGTCTGGGGCGATCGGCTGGGAGTGGAGATGTTTGGATGCACTTTGTCGGGAATGTGCGCCCCAATGCGGCTCTTTTTGGGTTTGGCATCTGGACGCTTTAGAGGGCTCAGTGGGAACCGCCCTGCACCTGTATTGGGCGGTCTCGGTTCAACTCAAACTGCTGATAACTTGGAGAAATCTGCTTCGGGCTCTCGAATCCGGCCTCCGGCTCGGGGCCTGCAACGAGCTGCGCCTTCAGCTCCTGTCAATGCAGGAGATGCAGTGGACTTCTATTATACCCGGGCATCTGCCGACACAAGACGACAGAAGTATGGCTGAACATGGCTGAACTGTGTACTGTGACAAGAGGACAGTCCTCAGACTTCACGAACTTGAAGGATGGGTCTCAACTTGAAAGGCATCAGAGGCTTTACGGTCAAATGCACCCGTGACGCGCAGAGACGGCTTATCTTGCAGGATTCACGAGAAGCATCTCAGGAGCAAGTGTATGATTATGATTTGGCCATCCTAGTGGAACAACCCGTCTGTGACAACTTGTCAACCTGCACTGTAAATCCTACGCATCATGAACACTTGAGGAGTGCCCGTGCAGGCATCCTGCATCTCCAGCTGGTGAGCTTCTTGCATGCTCGCTATCTCCTCTCAGCCCGCATCTTGAAGGGGAGCCGATGGGGTCCATGGTTCGGGATCTAGTTCTTTGGGGTTAGGAACCCAGGATTGTAGAGGCTTCCACGCCGCAATGGGGCTTCTCACTCTTGAACAACACGGGCCCTGCCTTCAAAATCCACTACATCAGTACGTCAACCATTGGCCCTTAGTCATAGATTTCACGTGGCTGGCTTACAGCCTTCTAGGTTTCGGTTGGCTTTCAGTGGCTTAGGTGAATACAACCGTGCCCTCACTCCGATTCATGGGTGGTCGCAGGCTGGTTCTTGTGAGGAGGTTCAGGTGTCCCTGCTCTTTAACAGCCTTGGCCAGTGTCCTGTTGCAGCACGCGCTTGGAGTCGATAGCCGACTTCAGCTCCGTTTGGAAGGACTGCACCTGCAGGGCCACCAGACGATACTCAAAAAATGCCGTTTCCCCTGCTTTGCGTGGTGACCGCTGACTCGGCATTCTGAATCCACTCGAGACCCATGCCGGAAGGAGGAGCAGAAGCAGGCCACTGCTGCACTCGACACACAGGAATAACGTTCCTGAAAAGAGAAGGTAGAGACTTTCCAGAGCAAAAGTGCCATGTTGCAGGCTAGCAAGGCATGTACAGACACGACACCGACACCGACACCGACACCGACGCCGACGCCGACACCGACACCGACACCGACGCCGACGCCGACGCCGACGCCGACGCCGACGCCGACGCCGACGCCGACGCCGACGCCGACGCCGACGCCGACGCCCACCCACGCACGCACGCACGCACGCGCATGCACGCGCACGCACACGCTAACGCTAACGCTAACGCCAACGCCAACGCCACCGCCACCGCCACCGCCACCGCCACCGCCACCGCCACCGCCACCGCCACCGCCACCGCCACCGCCACCGAAACCGACACCGCAACCGACGCCGACGGCCGACGCCGACTCCGACGCCGAACGCCGACGCCGACGCGACGCCACGCCCGACGCCGACGCCGACGCCCGACGGCCGACCGACGCCGACGCCGACGCCGAACGCCGACGCCGCCCACGCCGGCCCACGCCCACGCCGCCCACGCCCACGCCCACGCCACGCCCGCCCAACGACGCCCACGCCCACGCCCACGCCCACACGCCCACGCCCACGCCCACGCCCACGCCCCGCCCACCCGACGCCCCGCCCGACGCCGACGCCGCGCGACGCCGACGACGCCGAACCGCCGACGCCGACGCCGACGCCGACGACGCCGACGCCGACGCCGACGCCGACGCCGACGCCGACGCACCCACGGCACGCACCCACGCACCCACGCACCCACGCACCCACTCCCCACCACCCACGCACCCACGCACCCATGCACCCACCACCACCCACCCCCCACCCACCCACGCACCCCACCACCACCCCCCACTCACGCACGCACCACCCCACGCACCCACCACCCACGCACCCACCCACCCACCTCACCCACCACCCACCCACCCACCCACCCACCCCACCCACGCACGCACCAACGCACCTCACGCACACACGCCCACACACACACACACACATACATATACATACCTCCAGACATACACATTTAGACTTGCTTGCCTGTATAAATCTGCGAAGTTTGGCATTGTCCGGCGAAGAGCTCCCCCCCCCCCCCCCCCCCCCCAAAAAAGAAGACCCAGGAATCTGCCTGGAGCAGGATGCGATCAACGGCCTCGTCGTGCTCTTCTTGCTGCTTCTGCAACTCCTTCTCCACCTGCAGGTTAAGCAACCCATAGGAAGGCCCGGTGCAGAACAGAACAGAACGGAACACAGGCACAAGGCAAAGCGTGTTTCCAGATTGCCGGAAGAATCGAAAGCTTGGAAGGCATACGCGCCATTTGCGGCAAAAGCAGGGCGCTTTGCAGATGCCGTGAAAGCTCCTTGGCGCTTCAGGGAGATGGAATTCGCCCTGGGGGCCCAGGCCCAGGCCTTGCTGCGATGCGCTTCCTGTAGAAGTGCTCGCAGCTCCTGCCAAGGATGAGACTGGGAGGCTCGGCGGTATAACTCGATTTTCACGCGTGGCCTTCTTGGCGCTTGCGTGCTCGACCTCACCCTCACACAGGACGTAGGTTTGATACAGGCTTGTCTACTTTCCGTTTCAGCCAGCTCTGGATGGTTCCAAGGAATGATTACAGCTCAGGTATGGGCCAGGAAACCATGGCTCTCGGGGGTTTCGGCTTTTGCCTCTGCCTGAATTTATGTTTTTGTTGTTCATGTTTGGTACGCAGAATGTCTGTTGCTTCGTGAAGCGAAAAAACACCCTTGGGAGATCTCACCACCTCAGCATCCAAGGCGTTGTCCGCGATGTCCCAACGCAGATGCTTCTCCTCGCTGCTTACATGTCACATGTCTGTGCGCTGAATGGAATGTTCTGACTCTTTCTCTGCCTACATTGGTTGGGCCTGTACGCCACTCTGCAGACACAAACGCACCTTGCTTGGACGTCGAACTCGCTGAACATACGTCTAGACTTAGAGTCTAGACAGAGCCAACCCCCCCCCCCCCCCCCCCAATTCCCAATTTACCCACTGCCTCTTTGCTGTGGCACCGCGAGGAGAACGCCTCCAAGAAGTGATGCTTGGCCAAGTCCTGAGCTCCAAGATTCTAGCGCATGACAAACCGCTCGACGACTCTCCATGCCTCGTAGGCTGAACAATAATTCTGCAGCTTTCTGCAGAGATTTATTCAGTTTCTAACCGTCAAGAGGGGATGCAATATGCTGAAGACATGCTTTGCCGTGCCGAAATTGAGCCCTCAAGCGACAGCATTGATTGCAGCCAGAGTGGCTGCTTCGTGACGGGACTCCTTTGGAAAGGGCGAATGGGATCTTGTGCTTGGGCGGCTTCAGTTTGGGGAGGGTCTCCTATGCTTCATTGCCCTCTATGCCTGTTCTTTGAAAGGCGTAGTTGCCTGAGTTGTTCCCTGGCTGTCATCAGTTCCCCGGTGTTCACGCTGTGCTGGTGCTTCTGTTGCTCCCTGCTCGAGTGCCAACACGTCCGCTGGGTGTGCTGTTGCTGTGGGTGGCCGTTCTTGGGTTGCTGCTTCCTGAGAAGCTTCCCCCCTGACCTTGGAGATGCCGCATGATTCGTAGTCGTAGTGCTCTTCGTCCAGCCCTTGCTGCACCATGGTCATGAGCTCTTGTGGGTGATTGCTTCCCGGAATGCTCTGAGTCCTTCGTGTCGTGTCTGTTCTGGCCCTGTTGTCTGTTCTGCTTCGAGCCTCGTCCGTTGTCTGGAAGAGCGCCAGCAGCACTTTAGATTGTAAAGCTCAAGTAGCCGAATGTGTGGGGCACGCTCTGGCCACCATGTCAATTCAAGCCGAAATTCACTGGAGAGACGCCCTTCTTTTATTGCCTTAAGACACCCTCTCAAGTCACCAGGGCATCCTGATGCAGCAGCTCACAATATCTTCTCAGGGCATTGGTATCCTAACGAAACCCTTTCGGAGAAGGAGATGAACCCCACCTCTTCTTTGAATCTACAAGAACTCGTGCCCAGGCCTCCTCGGGTGAGAAGCGTTTGAGATTGGCCTGGCGCTCTCGCTAGGCCGCTAGGCATAGGGCATCTCAATACCATGTGGCTGCACGGTTCTTCTCTGAGCAAGTGCATAGGTGCGGGAGCAGATGTCAGACGAGTGCCCGCCGCATGAGGCTGCCGATTTCCCGAGAGTTAGAGCTTGAAACCTGAAGCTTTCCCCCTCTGGAACCCATCGAATCCTTCCCTGGGCCCTGCGATAACGATACTCTGGAGCCTTGAAGCCCTCCAAGAAGCTCTGCTTTGCTCCGAGCACCTTCGACAGCACACACATGGCCGAATGCTTCCATACTGCAGTAAGGATGGTTTACATGGAGGTGGAGTGTGCGGACTGATGAAACTGCACTTGCGTTTCGGGATACCGCCAGCAAAGCAATGTTCTAGCGGGGCTTCCTCTCCGAAAACTCATAAGCGTTTGTTCGGATCTCATTGCGAAGGACACCTCGGAACGGATGCAGCCGGGGACCCCTGCCGACCACGCGCGTGTATGTGTGTGTGTGTACACATAAGCAAATTCTGTCGACGTAGAAACACCACGCTTGAACAAATTGAGAGGCCATTGTGCCCTGGAAAAGGCTCAAGTCCCAGAGTCGCCATTGAAGCTGAAAATCTGTGCAAACTCGGAGAGATGTTCTGTGCCTCTTCTCGCAGCTGCTCTTCATCGATTGCCAGGTCTTGCAGCGAGGCTCCCACCTTGTAGGAAGCCCTACTGTTAGGTTTGTACACCTGCACGGTTCAAGTTGAAATTCTTAAGGGTTCTAAACCCTGATACGCCCTGCGATGCTGAAGGTTCTGATTGCCCTGCGTGCTCCGGTGCTCAGGATTTCGGGATGGAGGGGGGGTATGATCAGCGTGTCTCTATCAGGCTCACTATCATTCCGACAAGCACAGATCTCATCTCATTGATCCTCTTTTGTTTTAGCCTTGTGCCTCTTGCAATTGACAGCCCATGCTGGAAGCAAAGCTCTTGCTTACCGGTGGGGGCCGGGGCGGCCTAGAAGAACTGTGAACTGCGGGCTGCATGTTTACTTGCCTGGATCGAAACGTGTCTTACTTTAGGTGGAGTTGCATCGTCTACGAAGAAATCTCGCCAAAAGTTGTGAACTCTCCTGGTCAATGGGGCTCGATATGCATTCAGGGCTTGCCGAGGGTCGATCCTTCAATTCAAGTTGTTTCCGAGTATCTTGAGAAGTGGACTTGCTGCATAGCTTTTGCAGTCGGATCGGCCTAGGGGATGCTTGGCTCTTCTTGAAGGCCGTCGGGTTCTTGTTTGAGCGTGAATCGTGGAATGCCTGCAAGTGGAAAATGATCTCATGACCCATTGCAGGCTGTCACTTCGGAGGAACTCGACTACGCGGTGGCCTGTTCTAGGGCGCGCTTGAAATTAGAATGACCTATGGCAACTTGTATATGGGACCGGAAGTAAAGTTTACTGCGAGGACCTTTCCTTGCCTCTTCTCCAGAAGATTGTGGCGCAGCTTCTGCAGGATCCACCTAAGGCTGCAGACTAACCCTTTTCGGTTTCAGTTTTGCTTGCGTACTCCACAGATAAGCGCCCAGCCCCGTCTCTGATTTTGTGGGAGTACATCCCTTGCACAAGTGCTTACAAGGCCCCCTTTGTAGGTTTAGGGATTTTGGGTGGGGTTTTTAGGCCCCCACCTGCGAGATCCTCCTCGCCGGACAGAAACGCAAACAGAGGCCCTGTTTCACAGCTTGTCATCTTCTGCATGTGCGCGTTGCAAACTGGCGAATGGCTGTTGCGTAAAAACCTTGTGCTCCGTCGCGACGAGGGGTGCGAGCGCCGCGCGCAACGTCCGAGCTTTCTCAGGGACTGCCCTGTTTTGAGACCGCAGCATCAGCTTTGCGCTCTACAACCGCCCGATGTTGGGGCATTGCCTCCTGGAGTGCTCTCTCATGTCGGTCGACAACCGTTTTCGTGCCAGAGGGCCCCATATGGGCCCCATGCCAGGAGGAATCGGCTAAAGGGTTTGCTGGGCTTCCACTGTGGCCTCTCTTCAAGCCTCTCCCTGTGTGATCTGCTGAAGGTGTAAACAGTCTAAAGAATGCTTTTCCAAAAGTGTCTAATGTCAGCTCCCCCCCACAAACCTCGGTCACGCCTCTTGCCACTCCACCGGCTCCGTCGGCACTTGCCGAAGTTCTTGGGCAGCCTCGAGCTCAGGTGCTGCGCGACTTTGCTCCACGAGGTGCTTGGGATAGTGGGCTCTCAAGTGTTCGCTGGGCCCATGGTGTGCGGATAGCTTTGCTCTGCAACAGAAACACTCCCCTCGCTCCCTCAGCTGAAAGCAATACACAGCGCTGGTGCCTGGTCCTTTGCCTCAGCTACCGCAGGGCTATCCTCCGCCGGAAGAGAACCGTCTCCTGCAAGCAGTTGAAGGGTTAAGGGTTGGCGCAGGCTGGCGCACGACATGAAGACAGATCCTAGAAAACAAGAACAAGATGGGGCAAAGCATATGCCCCTTCTCCTTCATTTTCAGACATGCTCCGTGTCGCCAGTGCTGTCATATTAACATGCTGTTCAAAGGGCTGTTGTTTTCCTTTGAGGAACTACGGCACCCCTGCTCGCCGACGAGATGCCTCCTTTGCCTCCTTTATTCATTTTTTTCCATCTGGCAAGCTGCCTTGAATGATCCACAAATCACCCGCCGAGGGCTCCTCTGCTCAAGCGTTGAGAAGTCAGGTTGGCGGTCACTTGGTCAAGAAGCAGCTCGGTGCCCTTCAAACAGCACACCATACCTTGCCGAGGCGGTAGTGGGACCAAACAGCCCCAGGCTAGTCTAACGGATTCTGTTCAAGCCTCTCCTTAGTCTGGTGTGAAAGAAGAGACTCGAGACTGTGAATCAAACCAGCTTCCACTCTTTTGCATGTGTTTTCAAGGCCCCTCACACAAGTTGAAACCTGTGTCTACTCGTGCACCTGCAACTGCCACTATGAATCTGACTTCCGATGGCGGTTGCGTGAAATCGACAAAGAGGCAAGGGTGGAGATGCTGGTTGTTTCGGTGGCTACGGGTAGCAAGGGTGCCTCAAGCGCTTCACATCTTCACTGCCGCCAGAGGGCTGCTCCCCACCACTTTCATTATCAGATGCGCAGTGGAGGGTGGACTCTCCTGGCATGAGGGATTCGCTTGCAGCAAAAGCCGAATTGTGTGACAAGTCTGGCCTGGGGGGGAAGAATGTCAGTGGTAGGTTTTCATCAGCCCAAGGGTGGCAGGGACTCTCGAATGCCTAAACTTACTCTGAGCCCTCTAACTCCCAGCACGATGCAGTGCAGCTCTGTAGACCCTGGTCTGGGCAATAGGCACAGGACAACCGGGACAGCTGCTTCCACTGGAGCACGAACTGTTTGCTTCTGCAGGCGGACAGTCACCGAAATATCCTCATCTCCTTGCCTCCGCCTTCTTCTCGGCTACCTCAAGGTCAACCTCATAGTAGCCCAGATAGCCTCCCGTGTGTGAGGGGTCATGTCGCAACCATGTTGCCCAGTGAACGACGCATGTTGCGAACCAAGGAGAGATCTCGAGGCAATATCACGCACATCTCATCTCACCATCTTGGATTCAACTTCAATGAAGGAATCAAACGTGGACATCTTTGAAGTCAGACGCTTAACACGCTTAACGTTCTTTGCAGGCCATGGCAGCTGAGGTCTAATTTTGTATCTCTTGATTGAAACGGCTGCGTTCCTTCCAGGGAGAGTACAGTTCCGTTTGTGGTCTTCCGAAGTACCTTTTTACCACAACACGCTTCCCCGCGCTCGATTCATGGCACTTCCAGGAACTTGCTGCTGCAAGCAGGCTTAGCTACTCTTTGATAGTCGGGGTGTGGACGCCCGGGGGGTGGTCGCATGCAGTGAAAAATCATCAAAGGCAAGACTTCAGACTCCAGTGGTTTTGGCATATGGTCCACGTCACATTGACGGCATGCAGAAACAACCACTTCTAACCGTGCTAGCTTTACGCAATACTTCTCTAAAGCATTGGAAAAATTCCGTACGTACTTAACTTTGATTTACCATAAAATCTCAATCGCTGCTGGCCCGAGAATTTAGGGCGATTAATGGGCTCGAAGCCTGAGTGATACTTGACAAGTTCAAAGCCAGTGAATGCAACAGGTATTGGGACCCATTTTTTGTCGTCATAGCCATGGAACATGAACATGAATCTTGTCAAAAGTAAAAAATGATCAGCGTCAGCATGTGCTGAACAAGCGTAACTGCTGGACATGTCGACACGCCAACCTGACCCCCCGGCCTTGCCACTGCCACCCCGTCTGTGGCAGGTTCTCTTTGGAACCTGTTCGCGTGGTGCTCTTGGTGCCCTAAAAACTTCGGGGGAAGGCGTGAGGGGGCTGTGGACTGAAGTGTGAACCTTGCACACCTCATTCCCGGAGGCTCTGACCATGGGACTTTGCAGGCATGCCAAGTATTCCTAAAGACAAGAAGCCGAAGCCATGTACCCCAAAGATGAAAAAAGTACGGGACCTTTTGCACTGCAAAAAACCCATGAGTAACTAGGGGACTGTTGCGAATCTTCGTGATGTGCACTTCAAAAGTCTCAGCTCCACGTCCGCTCCTGCGCACCAGAGAAGGCAACGCTCTCCGAAGGCGGATTCCTGCAACAGGGCTCTGCCCTTTTTCTGCCCACGATGCACTTAAACCAGCACATTCGCATTCGCTCATGCCTCTTGCTAGTTGCCGTTTCGAAAAACAGCGGGAGAGCCCAAGCGAGACAGGTACAGACAATGACAGGGCAAGCGCCTAGTGGTGAGACATCATGAGAGCGAAAGAGTCTATAAGCGAGTGGCGGACAGGCAAAAAAAGAGTGAGCAAGCGAGCGAGCCAGAAAGAGAGAGAGAGAGAGAGAGAGAGAGAGAGGGAGAGAGAGAGCGTGAGAGAGAGAACAAGAAAAAGAAAAATGCACAAACGAGGGGGGGGGGGGGGGATGAAGCAAAGCGCATGCTTCGCATTGACTGTGCCATTGGCAAGCCCTGCTACAGAAAGTGGCCGAGTAGTTTCGCACGCACCCGTGCCCGTCAAGCTGGCAAGCGATGCAATTCACTCACTCTTACTGTCGACATGCAGAACTCCTCGGATAGCCACCACCCAGATGGCCCTCCCACACCATCATCAAAGAAAATCGCCATTCCTTGCGTCGCAACATCTCCAACACTCGCTCACGAAGCTCAATCAGGTCAGCAAGACGAGGCACAAAATGTCCCAAGCACAAAGCTTGTTGGGCCCAAAAATGACGTACTGAAGCCTAAGGCCTACGAGAAAGAACTCCCAACCACCCCAACCTCTACCAAGAGTCTGCCGTCCACTTGGGCGTATCTCTTCATGATGGAATGCTTCCCGACCGCCTTCGCAAGGGATCACATACATATTTAGGTGTCTTGGACATTTCCCAATCACTGGATGGGTCTTTGAATGGGCTAATAAAGGTTGCAACCGCAGCACTCGACGATTCGACTGCAGGCGACAAAATCGCGCCCTCAACTGCCGAAAAAACTACCGGCTGCAAATCGTCTCATCATGAAGGGCCCCCAACCAAAACAAGAACGCCATGGAAAAGCCCCGTCTTTTCTGTGCCTGCAAGTATTGCGCCGACTGACGCGTGGCCTCACGCACCGGCGTGGCCAAGGTGGCCGTGTACTCACCTGCGGGCCACCGGGGCCACAGGAAGCTTGAAGCCAATGCCGGTCAAACCTTCCCGCAGTTCCTGAGAATCCCTGAAACTGATAACCCGCCCAAACTTTGCCCCCGAACCCGGGAGCCCTCCACGGTATCTCTGGTCGAGCCTAGCACATCACGAGAGGCGTCAGGCAGCTCGTAGATGTTGGGCCGTGGTCGCCGGTTGAGAACAGCTGTGGCCTTGGTGTCACGCGGGGCGTCAGACTTTGGAGCTCGGGTGGCACGTGCATGCAGCATAGCAGTCTGATGTCAGAAGCTATCTCTAAAGGCCCTTGGACTGAACCTTAAGAAGCATTGCCAAGCGTTGGAGCAGCGTATCAAGCTCGCTGCCAAAGAGCAGGAACGCCCGCCCCGCCGGCAGCCATGAAATGAGCGTCACTTTGGATGCTTCGGATGCCTAGACCTAACACTCCTTTTTCGAGGGTCTTTGGACGGGTTGAGGTCTAGGGCTTAGAGCATTAGGGCATGGCCGGTCCCGGATAGTGCGGCCACGCTCGTGGACCAGCTTGTGTTGCTTTTTGGCGCGGCATCATGCCAATCAGATAGCTAGGAACTGTGCCATGCTGCTTGACATTGCTATGATGGAAATGGGCAAGCGGCTCACTTGTACATGGCCGTGTCTCAGCAGACTTCGATCGTGCAGTGAGTCTGTTTCTTCAATCCGTGTTTCTGGGGCAGTTCTGACGAAAACCTGACGCCCGGATTCACAAGTCTTTGCTGCAAGGCACAGAAAAACCACAGTTGCTTGGCGCATTCGGTGGTTCTTCTGTGTTAGAGACAAGCCAAGCTGGGTACCACATGGCGGACATCTTCTTTCCGACTACATTAAAGAAAAGAAAATATTCGCTCACTCGAAGGGGAAACACGGGAAACTAGCTTTAGCGTACAAGTCTTTGCCAGTACGAGAGCAATGGCGCAGTTTGGGGGTGTGAGCAAGTTGCCAAACTTTTTAGGCTATCGGCAGCCTTGAGGAAAGATCGGAAACACTGTACCGGTCGGACCTTCTCCGCAAGGTTTGTGTCCAAGGGCGACCCGATGTCCTTCACTTGCATGTTGACTGCCTCCCCTCCTCCTCTATGAAAGGTAAAGTATGAGCCTGCTCCGAAACTACTGTGCCAGATGGAGACACTCGGCGATGTACATGCCTGTGCCAGATCCCTGCGAACATTTGCAAGACCTCCTGGACCCAACCAACCAGAACACAACCAACCAGAACATACAGCAGCACTTGCACCGCCTGCATCAGATGCTCGATGGGGCCCACGGGCTCACCAACATCCTCGTGCACAAAGAAACACGTGCGAAATCTGAGGATGTCATGGTTGAGGCTGAACTACCCCTGAACGACTCAAGCCAGCAATATCCTTCCTGCTGAAAACGAGCTGAACTGGAAAAAGCTGGAAGCAACATGACATTCAAAGCACCGAGAAGACTGTAAAGGGAGGCACTCTTCAAACCCTCAACAATTGAAAGCCGACCCTTGGCAGATGGTAAAGTTGAGACGAGTCCACTTCTGTGTTGGTTTGTGGCCTGTCTTCATCTCTCCACTGCAGAGAAATCGAGGAATTTAGGAACTGTGCCCTGCTGCTTGACATTGCTATGATGGAAATGGGCAAGCGGCTCACTTGTACATGGCCGTGTCTCAGCAGACTTCGATCGTGCAGTGAATCTGTTTCTTCAATCCGTGTTTCTGGGGCAGTTCTGACGAAAACCTGACGTCCGGATTCACAAGTTTTTGCTGCAAGGCACAGAAAAACCACAGTTGCTGGGCGCATTCGGTGGTTCTTCTGTGTTAGAGACAAGCCAAGCTGGGTACCACATGTCGGACATCTTCCTTTCCGACTACATTAAAGAAAAGAAAATATTCGCTCACTCGAAGGGGAAACACGGGAAACTAGCTTTAGCGTACAAGTCTTTGCCAGTACGAGAGCAATGGCGCAGTTTGGGGGTGTGAGCAAGCTGCCAAACTTTTTTAGGCTATCGGCAGCCTTGAGGAAAGATCGGAAACACTGTACCGGTCGGACCTTCTCCGCAAGGTTTGTGTCCAAGGGCGACCCGATGTCCTTCACTTGCATGTTGACTGCCTCCCCTCCTCCTCTATGAAAGGTAAAGTATGAGCCTGCTCCGAAACTACTGTGCCAGATGGAGACACTCGGCGATGTACATGCCTGTGCCAGATCCCTGCGAACATTTGCAAGACCTCCTGGACCCAACCAACCAGAACACAACCAACCAGAACATACAGCAGCACTTGCACCGCCTGCATCAGATGCTCGATGGGGCCCACGGGCTCACCAACATCCTCGTGCACAAAGAAACACGTGCGAAATCTGAGGATGTCATGGTTGAGGCTGAACTACCCCTGAACGACTCAAGCCAGCAATATCCTTCCTGCTGAAAACGAGCTGAACTGGAAAAAGCTGGAAGCAACATGACATTCAAAGCACCGAGAAGACTGTAAAGGGAGGCCCTCTTCAAACCCTCAACAATTGAAAGCCCACCCTTGGCAGATGGTAAAGTTGAGACGAGTCCACTTCTGTGTTGGTTTGTGGCCTGTCTTCATCTCTCCACTGCAGAGAAATCAAGGAATTTAGGAACTGTGCCCTGCTGCTTGACATTGCTATGATGGAAATGGGCAAGCGGCTCACTTGTACATGGCCGTGTCTCAGCAGACTTCGATCGTGCAGTGAATCTGTTTCTTCAATCCGTGTTTCTGGGGCAGTTCTGACGAAAACCTGACGTCCGGATTCACAAGTTTTTGCTGCAAGGCACAGAAAAACCACAGTTGCTGGGCGCATTCGGTGGTTCTTCTGTGTTAGAGACAAGCCAAGCTGGGTACCACATGTCGGACATCTTCCTTTCCGACTACATTAAAGAAAAGAAAATATTCGCTCACTCGAAGGGGAAACACGGGAAACTAGCTTTGGCATACAAGTCTTTGCCAGTACGAGAGCAATGGCGCAGTTTGGGGGTGTGAGCAAGTTGCCAAACTTTTTAGGCTATCGGCAGCCTTGAGGAAAGATCGGAAATACTGTACCGGTCGGACCTTCTCCGCAAGGTTTGTGTCCAAGGGCGACCCGATGTCCTTCACTTGCATGTTGACTGCCTCCCCTCCTCCTCTATGGAACGTAAAGTATGAGCCTGCTCCGAACCTACTGTGCCAGATGGAGACACTCGGAGAAGTACCTGTGCCAGATCCCTGCGAACATTTGCAAGACCTCCTGGACCCAACCAACCAGAACACAACCAACCAGAACATACAGCAGCACTTGCACCGCCTGCATCAGATGCTCGATGGGGCCCACGGGCTCACCAACATCCTCGTGCACAAAGAAACACGTGCGAAATCTGAGGATGTCCTACCCCTGAACGACTCAAGCCAGCAATATCCTTCCTGCTGAAAACGAGCTGAGCGGGAAGGATGCGCGGAAGCGCGAAAAGGAACTGCCGCGACTTCGTTCCATGAACTGGAAAAAGCTGGCAGCTGGAAGCAACATGACATTCAAAGCACCGAAGGGTTGAGACGAGTCTTTGGTAAACCTTGCATCATGTTCTGCACTTCGGAAAATGCTGTTGAACACCTTGGCCTATGAACACTGGGAACACTGCTGGGTAGCTCTGGCCTCTGCAGAAGGGCTTCGGAACCAAGTTTCACAAAAAATGCGGGAATTTCAGCTTTTCTACGTCCCCCGGCGTGGAAACAAAAGCTTCGGCGTTCGGGAAAATTCTGGTCTTTGCCGCACTGCACCCCTGGCTAAGAGAAATGCTTCGGACAAACCACCCGCAATCCTTGGCCCCTGCGAATTCATGCACCCATTGAAATGCTTCTGATTGAAAAAAGAATGACATGCATCAGAAACCTGAATCGGAGTGGGCGGGGGGGGGGGGGGGCACGAACAGGACCGGGTATTGGGCTTCAAAACAGATCGGGTCGGATGGAGTCGGACGTCGGCATTGTCCGGGGTTCAGTTCAGAGTCACTCTCGCCCTGGTTGCAGGAGCTTCGATGAGACTGTGCAACTTAGGAATGTTAGGATTCCTCTCAGCTAGTGTCGGGACAAATATGAGCAACGCACTGGATTGTGTTCCTGTGGTTTGCCTTCTGATGTAACTCCAGACCGCCGAAATCAAATGGCACAGAGGGCGAGCCAAAGATCCTCCTCTGGTGCAGGGTGAGCGGATGCAGCTGGCACCGTCCTCGGCTCATTGAGTCATGAATTCCCTGAATTCCCTCATTGAAAACTCATAGAAGCTTTTGCAGTTCAAACCTTGTGCGTAAACGCTTCATGTGCTTATTGATACTATGAACTTACTACTTAGCATGCCACGTTTGAACAGCTCGGAGCGGGGCGCTGGTGGAAGGGCGGCGGGTGCTGCTGTCGTGATGGAACCTGCAAGACTCTGAGAGACTTTTTTAGGAGTGGCATTGGAGCCGGTTCTAGTGTGAAAGGAAGCCCAGCAAGGTCGTCTTTCCAGGTCTTGACCCGAAACATCCCGAAACGAAATGGTGCAACCTCGGCCTAGTCTGCAGACTGCAAGAAGACATTCCCTCTAGATAGAAGGTAGCTGCAACTTGCACCCCAACCGTGATTTTTTTCGGAGCTCCTGCAAACCGATGGTGCTGAACCATCAACTCGTAGCATGAGCTCGCCAAGCCGACATCGCATCCTACCTGTTTCATCCCCTCTAAGATCGCGCCCAGAGATCTGAAATCCCTGAAGTCCCTTTCTCTGCACCTGCAATTTGCAAGCGAGCAGGGCTCTCGGGTAGGAGCCTGGTCAAATTTTTCGATGCGAGCAGGCGTATAGTTCTGAAGTTCAAGGCCAACCATCACTGTATAGAAGCGGTTCGGGTGGGGCCTGAGATTTAACATGGTCAGCTTAAAAACCGATAACCCTTGCTTGCTGCCCTTAAAACCCATAACCCCAAAAACACCTAGACCCCAAAACACATAAAAAACCTAAACCAGCCTGCTGTCATGTTTGGCCTGGCTTTTCTCTCTTTCCAGTTCCCGACTCGGGCCGGGCCCCCCATTCCACATTGTAGAACTTTGCGCATTCTGGATAGCATCAGCAGCTTTTCTTTTTTAGCGAGACTGACATCAAAGAACACCCCCCGGTAACGATGCCAAGGTTGCAGGCGGGGCACGCAGATGTTGCACCGGAGACCGCCTCGCAGATCTCCCCCGAAAGGGTATACACCTCAGAACCGACATGCTGAAGCTCACTGCAGCATTCTTCGAGATTAGAGAGATGGCCACTCTCCTCACGATGATCCACATTTTTGTGGCTTTTGCTCATCTCTCGGTCTTTGCTTAGGTAAATGGCCAGCTGAGCCAGCATGATGCCCTCTCTTTGTGCTCTCAACATTTGGCGATGGTGACCGCCTTGGTCTTCTGCATGGGTCTGCTCTCCGGATCGTAATCGAAAAAGCCTTGAGGCACAGAGCCCCACAGCCCTTGACTCTAAGTGACCTCCTGCATCGAAATCAACAACTGCTGAGTTGGCCACTCGCCCCAGCAAGGCAGTCGCGCACAAAGCCAGCGGAACGAAGAAACCCAGCCTGTGAGAAGCTCGGGTTTCAGCCCTCTATTTTAGCTCACGGGGAGCGGCCTATGCTGAAACCTCTCAACTCAACACTTAGGATTTAGGGACTCGGCTTCGGGGTCCGGGATGAAGGATGGGGGGATTCTGTTTCTTGCCTATGCGGCAATGCCCAGCTCCGAAAGCGGACTTGCATGGGCTGACTGCTTCTGGTCTCTCGACATGTTCCACTTGCCAATTGCAGAATTTGCTGATGGCTTCAGCGGAGCCGTGTCTGGCCTTCCCTCAGTTATTGCCCCCCCCCCCCCCCCCCCCCCCCCCCCGTGCTTTAGACGCTTAACGTCTATTCTGCGCGTGCTGTATGTTTTCTTGCATTCTTCCCGAAAACCTCTCTGGGATTGGGTTCTCGTTTGGCGCTTCAACGCGTAAGGCGTTCTTTCGGATCGCTTTCTGGCGAAAGAGGCCACGAAGAGGAGACGGTCAACGGAGGAGGGTCGGACGGAATGAACTTTGACGGGAGGCCACGGCGACGACACAGTCAAGGGAAGACTTTGCTGGGAGAGGGGTGTGGCGTGGGCAGGCGTGGACCATGCATGGATGTGCGGTTGTTTGACGGACGGACGCGGACGGGGAGCGTGACAGTCGGTTGATAGGCAGGGGAGTGGGCCCGCAAGCGCCCTCCGCGCCCTCCGCGCTCTCCGCGCCCCCGCCCAGGACACAGTGTGCTCATGCAAGCTAAAGGTGCATTGCGTCTATTCTGCAGGTACGTTGCGTCTATTCTGCAGGTGTTTCCTTTGTAAAGTCTTTGTTTTCAAGGCACGCACGTGCAGCATAGCCTCTAAGTGTCCATCTTACCCCCCCCCCCCCCCCCGCAATGGCCTTGTTATCCTGACATGTGCCCGCCAGTGCCCGCAGCAGCCGCTTGAAGCTTGTGTGAAAACCAGGTTGCTCCACAGGCCTATGTCATCTGCAGGGCTATCCACGACAACCCCGATGCCCGAACTTGCTGAGTCTGGGCCCCCGAGTTGCGAAAGCCCCCAAGCCCTCAGCGTCAAGGCCTCACAAGTGGGTGGAAGGCCGCACCAGCCACCTTTGCTGAAGGCAGTCAATTTTCCGACTCGCCACAACTTTCAATGGTTCCTGGCTGATCGTCCCATCTGGAATCACAAAACTCCAACGATGACAAAGGCTATAGAGAGTCATCTCCGAGCCACGCCCCTTCACCACTTTGGCCAAAACATGTCCGTCTGTATGCGCTTGCCACAACGGAGGCGTGTTGGCCGGCCCTATCTTCTCTTCTTGCTCAGCAGTGCGGCAGAGAAAGAAACCAAAACAGCGGCGAGCCTTGGTCAAAGCTTGCAGGGATTCAGCCCTGCCCTGGACTGCCTGGCACCGCACCAAACTTCTGCCTAAAACGCTTTGCAGGGCGACTGCTAAAGTTGACCGCCACAGACCGCGGAATGCTTTGATGGCTATGGTGGATATTGTGGTCCACAGAAGATTTCATGTATGTCCCCCGCACAAGTGAAAAAGCGACTCTGGCATGGGTTTTAGCTGCTGGGTCCTACACCATTGCTCCGGACCCGCTTGAACCGGGCCCGCGTGCCTCCAGCGACATGAGCAGCTTTCCAGCTTCCTCCTCAAAGCAGAGCTGTGGCAACTCTAGCTCCCACGAAGCATTGCCGTAGTACGACTTGGCATCCCGTCTTCGGATCTACAAGTTGTTGCAGCAAACGAAGTGAAGCCGCCAGTGTCTTTGGCGATGGTTTGTCGGCTTGCTTGTGTGCGTGTGTCTGTGTCTGTCTGCGTCTGCCTCTGTACCACAGTGTGTAGAGTAGGCTTTGCTTCAAAGTTGAAGCCTTCTCTGCCGTTGCTAAGCATAGGAAAGGTTGGCCGAGCTCGACATAACAACAGCAATGATGACAAACAATGAGCAAGTGTGACTTTTGTTCGGAGCAACTTGGCACACGACTCGTCATGAGAAACCATGTGCAAAACATAACTACGTGAACGCACTGGAAGCCATTCTGCCAACCCCTCTCATGTTCCACATGCCCTGGGTGATGCACATCAGAAACCCAAAGCTCAAACCGCAACGCGAAAATGGTCAAACTTTGATTTCTGCGTTTCAAGATGGACCTGGTTGCCGAGGGTCGACAGCGGCTGGGCTGAAGACCTCATCCGATTGCGGGCATTATGCTTTCATTTACGGGGGCCTGAGAAGACCAGGCAAAGGGTCAGAGACTACAGGTCAACCGGTCAACCTTTACAACATGATATGGTCATAACCACGCTGGTGCTCGAAAGTCTGAAGATATGAGAGACGGCGTGGCTGAGGTGTGCTGTTCTTTGATGATGGAAGTCCTGACGTATGCTGTTTGGCTTTGAAAGGTATGGCACAGCATGAACTATGCATCCGGCTTTGTTCGTTTGCTCCTGGAGATGTGCTGCAAGAACTCAGACAGTGAAGACTTCACGGACTCCACCCCATGTCCTGCCACCTCCTTACGGCATCTTGTGGCATGTGAAACCGCCCCCTGCCCTCCCACCCTAATAATCTGAGGTTCGCACGATGTCAGCGATTTACTATGTTCAACGACCGATTGCGCCTTGTGGCACATCTCAGACATACCGTGCGCAAATCCGGCATTCGCCGTGCTGTGCCTAAGAAAGAACGCGCCTTCTCTCCATTTTTTCCTTGACCTGCGTGAATTCCTTGCTGCGGTGGGCACATGTCTGGCTCCGCCGTGTGCGGTTCCGAGGTCCCTCGACCCCTTGGCCACGCATGCACCTCATGATTGAACTCCAGGTCTACTCAAGGCTCAATGGCTCAATGGCTGTCGAGGTGCTACGCATTCTGGAGGTTTGGGGGAAAGGCGAACCCTAAAGCATCTCTCCAGGTGCCGCCTCGGCCAGGGTTCGGGGAGACTCCCCAAGATGGAAGCTTCTTTGCGCTGCTTGTACGTGCCATGGCTTAGGGCCTTCGGGCTTGTGCCTGGGATTGGCTGCTTGGGCTGTCTTGTGTACCCTAGTCTCGAAGATGACACCCTACGATAATTGCAGTGATGCTTTTCAACAGCGGCTGCACAGAAGCGACCTTGCAGGAGCTCCACCATAAGACGCTGCCAAGCAGCTTGGATTTTCCCAGAGCGGAACGCTAAGCTGTACAACGATCTGGAACACTCCTCTGGTTTTCATGCGCGGGCAGGTAGTTTGCTTCTTCTTCTTCTTCGCACAGAAACATGCTTTATGCTATGTCGCTTGCATGTTGTTGCGGTCGTCGTCGTCGTCGTCGTCGTCGTCGTCGTCGTCGTCGTTGTCGTCGTCCGTCGCCGGTCGCCGCCGCCGTCGCCGCCGCCGTCGTCGCCGTTGCTGCTGTAGTTTTGCTGTAGTTGGTGTAAATGCAGCAGTTGCGATTGCATTTCTGGCTCTTGGCCTCGTTTGGCCACATTTCTTAAAGTTTTAAGTAGGCTCGAGGGGGAATCCTCAAGGCGCTGTGAAGGGTTGGGCTTTCTGAAAAGAAGCGGCTCACACTTGCCCACTGCGCGCACGCGGTGAAACGTGCATAGATACTGCGAGATTAGCGCCACGTCAGGTGCCCAGTCTGCGAACTCCGGTTCGCCACGGGCACTGGACCTTGGCGGAATGTAACTGTAGCTACGCTCACCCTGTCAACTCCAAAGATGACCAGAGCCACCATTTTAAGCCGAAATAGTGAGACCTTGCAGCCCAGGAAGCGCGCTGGAGGCAAGCTGTGTGTGGACGCAACTTAAAGCCTAGACCTGCAAGTCCTGTTCAATACAGTCAGGTAGCTCCACCCCACTCGAAAAGGCATTCCAAACCCTTGGCCGTATCCGGGACTCGTGTGTCATGACTTGAACTCCGAAACTTCCGAAACCCCGAAGGCCAGAGACATACCACCCTTTGCAGCAGACATGTCGCGGGGCGCCTGGAGGCAAGGCCCGCGGTCATCCTTCGTCAGGTCCTTCTCATCTACACAAACACCACTTCTTGGCAGCATGGAACCTGCCTTCCTACAGTTTCGTGAGGCAAACCCTGCATATTTTCCATGTGTGTTGTGTATGCAGGAGCTCCATGGCACACATCAGTGCCATCGCAGTGCGCGTTTTGGAACGGAGATTTGTGGCAGCCTTTGCCCTCGTAGAAGCTCCGCTCTGATCAGTCTGGGGCAGGGCCTGTGACAATTGCGAGTTCTTCAAAAAATTCTGCGTTGGGTGTACTTTTTGGCACCCGCATAGCTGGACGAACCACTCCGCAGGGATTCCAAGTTACAGATACGTCTCTCTCCCACCCATGAGCAGACAACACCTCTCTTCACACAGCTCGCTCCTGCCGCAGTAGGGAACCAAACCAGGCCAACAGCGGAGGGTGTAGGGGTTACAAACGCCTGTCGTGCCCGTTGAGAGTGTGCCAATTCCCATTTCAGCTGCAACAATGCCCATGAGATGGTCTGCAAGCACCAGAGACCAATCGACCAGCCAACTGAACAACTGAACACAGTGACAGCCGCCGTGCTTCAAACTCCAGAAGAGCAGTGATGGAGTATGGCCCCAGACTTTTTTCTATCAAGTCCGGGACTCAAGTCCCTCCGAAGAACGGAACACCTTCGACTCGCAAGGCCGGAATCGGGAAGCACAGCTAGGCAGAAATTCTCACAGAGAGCAAATCCTGGGTGGCCAGGGCCGGTCCCGAGAAGGGCAAATGGGCCAGCAAGGGCCACCAAAACTGCGAAAAACTCCGAACCCTCCACTCTGTGGCTCTTTTGATTCACGGGCCCACCTGCCAGTTCCCCTGAAGACGGCCGGCTGAAGGAGCCACCTCCAGCTGCACCCAACTTAGGAGATGGAACTCAGATTCAATGGAATTGCTGAAACCTTCCTCAGGTTTCGCAACCTCCCTTGCGGCATTAAAGAGCATCCGAAGTCGCTTGTCTCATGTCCGGGGTGCTGCGCTGCCGCGCGTAGCCGCCGCCCGCGTCGGCGTAGTATCCTTGCGGATGACAACATTGGAGCACGCACGAGTACGTGCATGTACAACCTGGAACAACAATTTCTTGTCTTTGCTGTGAACTGTTGCAGATGCCAAGATGAGCTCCTGAGCCTCGTACGGGCATAATGACCGAACATACTGAGCCTGAAGCTTGACTCCCCCAAAAGCAGATTGACAAGAGCCGCGAATCCAGTGCTCCACTGCTCATGTCTTCAGACTCAGAGTCTCAGAGCTTCTGTTTCTTGGATTGGCTTTGCTCTTTGCGCATTGGACATCTATCAACCAATGCCCGCCGCCCCCCCCCCCCCGCCATGGTTCAGGCCCTTGCGCCCCAAACCCCCCGGCTGTCCATGAATTCTGATGTAAAGCTGCGGTTCAGATTCAACTCAGTTCCGACAAATTGATCTACTAAGCCCGAAAAGAATTTTGGCTTGGTTCAAGCTGAGGGAGCCGCAGCTCCATTTGTAATCGCTTCTCGTCGCTACTAAAAGTGCAGCGGCTTGGCGAAGGCAGAGCGCTGGCTGAAGGCTTGTTTGCGAGGCGGGGGCGAAAACCGACGCAAAATCCCCAAAAGCATCATGTCCCAATTGCCCAAAGGGTAACCTCTCCAAGGCCTATAGCCCCCTTTAATCCCAAAAAGGCACCTCCTCCCACAGCGTCGCAAACCACTGCCGCGGCCGCCGCGCGCGCGGCAGCTGCGCGCTCCTCGCGGAGCGCAGTGGCCTGTAGACATTCGGCTTCTGATGTTTGGAGGCTTAGCCCAAGCAGCCTGGCGAATTCATAATTGGGCTCTTGTGAAGCAAAGGAGTTCATCCACTCACATGGGCGACTCGTATTCAGCTATCACCTATTTCACACTTCAAGTGGGGCTGCGTTTTGCGATCTTTCAAACTCAGGCGACAAGCACCCTTCAGCATACCATGGTGGCTATGCTCCCTAATACCGCCAGTCAAGCTTGGAAGCAAATCGCAACTGGTGTCTCAACCCATTCTATCCCATTCTCCTCCATTCCTGTTGCGAGGCATCCTTCCACTGGCATCTTTGCAACAGACGCGGAGCCAGCTATGGCAGCTATGGTCATGTCCCCCTGAACCAACCGCCCAGGTGCTTTCAGCGTCTGAAGGCGTCGCTTCAAGCCGGCAACTGCATAGGAGCCTGGGGAGGTAGGTGGATCTTGGTTTGCATTGCATCGATATGTGTGTGTGTGTGTGCACGGCTCGAACACAAGTGTTGAGGGAAGGCCTTGAGCGCATCTACAAAGGGCTCAACGAATCATCATGTACGGTTAAGTACTCCGTGAAGCCTTGAGTCCAATGATTAGCCATTAGACTAGTCGGACACCGAAGGCTAAACTTTCGGCTAAAGCCCACAACACATCCCTCAAGGGGTGAAAGTGGGTTGCAGAGGTCCAATGCACCCTTCCCCACTTCTGAGGGCGCCGTGAAGCCTCCGAGCCCAGAAGACTAACACACCACGTTCAGAAGCCCCACCAGGTCAACGGCCAAACCTCCGACACACTTCTTCCCAACAGCAGCTTCCCGAGAAGAAACCCATGGCGCTCATGGGGCCTGTATAGAGACAATAGGGCTTACGAGATGTGCAGTTGGGTTTACTGCAGCTCTGCTGCAGCTACTACAATGATTACAACCCTCAGCTTCTCTGGGGCAGAAGGCTGCAGCTGCCACCCACGATCTGAGCTTCTAGGGAAGCTATCTCGTCCTCTGCTGTTCAGGCAGAACAGTGCTCAGGGATTCGTACAGAGAGGACGAAGGCTTCGAATCCAGGAGCGGGGGCTCAGGCTTTAGGACCTTGGGACGATTCGGGCTGAAACTCATCTTGTCACATGGGCATGGCTGCAAGCCCCATGTTCACCTTCTGGAAAAACAAAGAAGAGCCAGCTCTCCTGGCGGTTTTGGCCACCTGCATCCTTCTTGGAGAGAGCTTTCCTGAGATCGAGCAAAGGCTTTTGGGAGAGGCTGCTCAGAGACAAAAGAGACTCTTGCGATGATTTGAGGTAACAGGGGGTTCAGGGGGCCGGGAGGAGGCTGTCTTCTCAATTCAGGACAGTGGCTCCAGGCTGAAGCAGAACACTGGAAAACGTCGGATTTACTGGGCATTCGTTGAAAAAAGGGAAACACCACAGAAACACCCATCTCGTCGACTTTCCGCAACCTTTCTTAGATCCTTCCATCCCAAGGCAAAAGTCTCTGCGATTTTTCGCGATTTGGGCCCGAGGCACTGGAGTGACTCCTGGCGAGCCTGCTCGAGAGCTTCCCTCCGTGCGCGGATAGCCTTCGGGGAGTGGGGGGTTGTGGGGGGAGAGGGAGGGGGGTGGTGATGGGCTGTGGAGGTCTATATGGATGGGGTTTGCATCGTAAGCCAACAGCTCGCGGAAGTAAGGGTTGCTAGTTGTGAGGTGGAGGCCCGCAACGTCCTACATCCATGACTCAGCCGCGAAAGGCAACTCACACTGCCCTTGGGTCTCGCCTGGCCCTTCTGGTCATCATGAAACCCTCAGATTCCTGTGCTGTGCTCCAGAGCCTCTTCCTCAGGGCCCAGCCTCCTGGTGGCTTTGCACAGCTCTGGATGGCGATGCGCTGCGTGCGGTGCCTCAGTTTCACTGCACGTGGCTGCATCACTGCGACTACGTTTGCGAATACTGCCTTTTTAGCAAGCCACGTCTCTCAAGCTCTTGCGGCGCACCAGCCCAAACTTTCGCCTCGAAACCCCCCAAACGGCCCAAACTCCTGAGGCCTCTGCGTGAGGAGTCGTTCTGTGGGCTGTGTCGTTCAACACCTCGCTTGCCAGAATCCCCAGTGTTAGCACGAGGTCGCTGTGGGCCACCTGTGGAAACAACCGATGAGATGGCCCAACGTGCTTTGATGCTGTCTTATGCTGCTGTTTTTGCTTACGCTTGAGTGAAGCGTTTGAATGTTTCAACCCTACGGGTTCATGGCATTGGATAAAGGGGGGAGGGGCCGAACGAACGGAATCATGAGAGCGGGCGTGGCTGCGCTAGCAGTCCTCGAACCTGTCATCTCTTCTGGACCTTCTGGGCTCGTGAAATGCGAAATCGTCCTCGCTCTTGGAGGCCCGAGCTCACGAAATGCTAGATTGCTGTCTGCGCTCACGTGGTCTCTCACTGCTGGGCTCTATGCTGGCATAACAAACGAGACTTTTTTCTACAACCATTGCTGGATTATTTGTGTACTTGACCAACTTTTCTCTGCATTACATTAAGAAAACGATGAAACGGGCGAAAGAAGCCCCCAGCTGGACAAGGCTTAAAGCGAAGCAAGGTATGTAGACTAAATGAGTTCTTGCGTTATTCAAATGTTTACTGTTTATAGAACTTGCACTTACACCGAACATAGATGCGCTTGACGACCACATGCTAAGGGTGACAAGGTGCTCTTTTGCACCCAGGCCGCTTCGACCACTGCCGGATAAGACTGCACGAACATGAGCATCAGCTCGGGGCTCAGTGGCTCCAAGTATTTCTAACCCGACAAACGACAATGCAGCTCGAGAGGCCTTTGAACACAACAGATGTCGGGACTCAAATTCGAGCCCTGGAAGTGCGCTCGGAGTGTCAGGGGCTAAACTAATGACATGAAATTACATGAAGTGACTAACCCAGAACTTCAAGTTCAAGCCTTAGCACCGCAAAAGTCGACAAATGTCTGTTTTGGATTTCCGCATTTTTTGACAGGTTTCTACAGACCACACACAACCTTCATACACAATTATCTTGCCTTCCAGCTTCATGCACATCAAGAAAATCCACGGGGGCCATCGCAAACAGACAATTGACTATACAGCCGTTTTCAAGATGCAACCTCTTGCACGAGGGCTCAGATCCAAAGCCCTGGTCAGAACCCTGGATGCAGTTCCGCGCTTGTCGGAAAAGGGAAAATCACGTTGCAATCCCACAATGCTCTTCGGGCTTGAGATTGCCTCCGCCCTCTGCCCCAAGCGGGCTGCGGGCGCCAGGCATTGCGGGGGGCCGGGCGGGGGCCTGCAAAGCCAAAGATACAGACGGGATAGAGGGAGAGAGGGAGAGGGAGGGAGAGAGAGCTCCGGGCATTTGACTTCATAACCGGGGCATGCGGGTACTTGCTTGTTGCGACTTGGGGTGCTTAAGGATCTTCGGTACCATGCCTCATGGTCGCCAATCGTTTCGTGTGGGTGATCATGGTGAGTCAAGGAGCTTCGGACTGCACTCCGCGGGGGATTCGGAGGATGGCTGTGTTGACTCTTTTCGCCAAGTGTTGTGACTACCCGCAGTAACAACGGATGGCACAAATGTCCGGAGACAATCCCACAAATCGGCGATGTGAAGATACCCATAGCTACCCTCTCCAATACAAACAGCTCGTCTTGAAGCAACGCGCAACCCTGTGGTTCAACATGGATGCCAAAACCCTCACGCTCTTTCAAGCTTAAACATGATACAGTGGAATGTGAGAGTGCCCTCACTGGCATCCCCTCATCCCGATAAGTGTTGCCTGAGCTCAGCTTGGGGGCCTCCTTCGACTGCTTGCCGTTTGCAGAGCCAGGGCGGCCAGGGTAGTCGCGGCATTCTGGAGCTGCGGGTGTAACCTTTGCTTCCAGAGGCAAAGGTGGCAAAGGTGGGGGGGGGCGGGGGAAGGTCAAGGACAAGCCAGTCAAGCCTACACCCTGTCGCCCATGTCCTTCCTTAGTCTTTAATAAAGCTTTTTTGGAGTTGTGACATTGTGTCACCGCCCGCAGCTTGCATGACCAAAATTTGTCCCAAGCGTCTTTCGGACGCGGCAGGAGTGCCAGCCTGGTTTTCTGTTCTGGTTCATTCCTTGTGCCTACAGTCTCTCTTCAGAAGCCACGCTTGCCATTTGGATGGGTTTTGATGACTGGAGTAGTGTGTTACGCGAATGATAAGGTCTTCTAGGAATCTTAAGGCTAGCAGCCCTTGCTGGTGGCTTTGTGCTGTAACTCTCCAACTATCCCTTGTATCAGTCACTTCCGACTGGCAGGTTTCTTGAAGGAGATGCTCGTGTCATTTCCTCTAGTCTTCCCTCACAAAGTGCGCAGGGTCGTGCGATGAGGAAACTACTGGTGTCTCGAAAAACTTCGACTCATTTTCCCGGAGCTCTCAGCAACGCCTATGTCTTGCCATTGAGCCACTTGTCTGGAAAGCTGCGGACAAGCTCCTCGAAGCAGTGAGTGTCTTGTTGGGAGGGCCTGCATCTTCTAAACTCCGCCCCCGCAAGACAACAGAAACCGTGCCCCGACAAGGACTCAAATTCACCGACCGAGCCTTGCTACAATGCACCGACTGAGCACCGTCGAAAGATTGTTGCTTGCACTCCCCACAACCTCCGGAACTTCACAAAGATTCTAAGGAGAGACCTACAGAGATCGGCGCTTCCAGATCCGGGAGTCCTCTAGCTCGTCGAGCGCAAGCGCAGGCCGAGCCCAGTCAATCGAGGCATCGCCACCAAACAGCCTGATGCGAATTAGGGAGTTTGTGAATGGAAAGGTCAGCAACCTTTGTCTTTTTTGCTAGGGCCCGGGCCACGGCCACTGCATTGAAGGCTAAAATTCACATAAGCTTTTGCAGATTCATGCCCGCACAAGGGGCCCCTTATCCAGGCTCCTACTCGGCGGGGGTTCAGGTTTTCCACACAGCACATGGCCAAAGAGTCTTCCAGACCTCGGCACCTCACTCGGTCGATCTTCGGCAGCAATGCTCAACAAATAGCCGCGCAAGTTTCGCAGATGCGAGCGTAACTGGTATAAATGTTGAGCATTCGTGCCTTCGTGTCCATTCTCTAAGCTCTCCCCTCTCAATTGTTCTCTCTGGTTTTGGGCGTGCTCTCTCTCTCTCTCTCTGCCTCATTGTCTCATGGTCTCCCTTGCCCGTTGGATGTGCGAGAAAACTCTTTCCAGCTAGATATGCGCAATCGAAAGCACCACCACATGTTCATATCTAGTCTTATCTTAACGTGACGACCTTCCCAAAACCTGAACGTGTGAAGCTCGGCGATCTGGAATGATGTGCACAACCAACTAATCTGGTATCCGTCGTTCGTTCAACTTCGCTCTGCCATGCAGGCTTCAACAATGGATGTTTCACCTTTGCTGAGCAGTGATTGTTGAGATGGTGGCATGAAGACGCGAGATAAAATCACCCCTGGTTGCCAACGTCTAAGGGACAGCCGGGACGACTTGGGACGTGCAAGCTACCCTTACCCCACCAGGAGATCTCAAGGTGCAAGTCAGACAGCATTGGAACGACGATGTGGTTGATCAGGCGCAAGTCGTTTTTGCCTGGTAGTGCGAAGGCTTTCCACCAACTTCCCCCGCACAGTCCCAGAGCATTGGCAATCTTTCGACAGGCACACGGAGCTCCATATCTACCCCAAAACCTATCATTGGCTCAGGTCAACCAAGCAAACTCCACGATCCTCAACGCTTCACCATGAATGCTTGTTCAAAGTCCCAGTCCAAGCCCCTCATAGCCCGCCTAGGGCAATTTTGGGGGGCTCCACATCCTGTCGGACCCTTGCCGGAGCCGTCGGCAGTGGAAGTCCTTCAACCGACCCAAGTTCCAAAGCCACACATCGCCAACTTCTTGTAGCCAGGCCAAGCCAGGCTGCGCCAGTTCTCTGCATTGCGGCCGCGCTCGAGAAAGGAGCGGAAAAGCTCGACGGCACCTTGTGATCATCTGTGGGGGCGTTTCGCCCATTGAACACCCCCGTCAAACCGCATGAGCTCACGACTCGCAGAGACGTGCATGATGAAATCACACCCGAGCCGAATATCGCCCCATGCGTCCAAGCACAATGCTGGTGTCAGCCCCAGAAAGCCCATGGAGCCCTTGCAGGCAAGGCGGCGAGCTCTGTCCGGATCTTTCTCCTCCTGCTGCTTGGCCTGGAAATGAACGCTAAACACATCAAATCCCTTTGAACCCTAAATCCTCGGGCCTAGGTGCTGGATGCCGGAAGCGGAAGCTGGCTTCCAGTGGCGAAGAAATGAGGGTGTCAAGTTCCACGGCCAATCGAAACTGACGACATCGAAACTTAGAAACTCAAAGCTTCCAACTTGCACAGGACACGGAGTCACCAGACATCACCAGACCCGCAACAAAGACAACGCCGAAGAGTTCCCCCGGAGGCCTCAGCCTCAGCCTGGGGCGCCGCTGGTGGCTCCCTTGGCGGCTCCCTCGGCGGCTCCCTCGGCGGCTCCTTCGGCTCCCTCAGCGGCTTCTCCAGCTTCTCCGACTTCGTCTTGGACTCCGTGCGCCGAGGTGTCTTGGACAACAAGGAACACAAGGAGCAGTGAGCAGTGTACAGAAAAGGTTCCTCAAGGTGCTTTCGAATGGTTTAAGCTTTAGGGTGTTGCCTGTTGCGTGGTTTGCAACTGACACGTCGAGAGTCAAGTAAGCTTGTCTCGTGTCATCTGCACGTCTTTCCGTGTCTGGGGTTGACGGGGGTTTTCAGATTCTGGGAGTTGCAGGGCATTGCAGAGCCTCAGTCTTTCCCGCCGGCTCCGGAGCAGGCTCCTGCGGTTCCAACATGTCGGCAAGTTGATTTCTCAACACCGTGCTGGAAGAATGCTTCTCCTCGGCCACTGGTGGCCGCGCCAGTCTCACCCGCTGGCGCATGGTGCCCCACTCCTCACGAGCTGCCTGTGCCGGGAATCGGCAATGTCTGACAAGCCCCAAGCTTTGCTGAAAGCTAATCCCAAGACACAAGTCAGCCAAGCACTAGGTACCGGGAGCTTCTACTTGAGTTGCGAGTTGCCCACTCACTCTCGCACAAGCCAGGTGAGGCATGACCGCCCAGGCACATGCCCACATGCCCACACCCACGCCCGCACACAAACTCCACAATCCTGGCTTTACTCATCGTTTGTACGGCTTTGACAGGGCAGGAAGCGAAACACTACTTTTCTGTTCCCTCTGGGCTCTGTGCAATCGCATGAAAAGCACAAGAGGCACAAGAGGCACCAAAGCCAGCGCCTGAAGACGCTTTGCCACCTCTGGTGCCAGTGATTTGATGCAACGGCGGTCAAGGGCAGCCCGCATCGACCTGAGTGCCAGGGAGCCTTGAAAAGCTTAGATTTGGTGCCAAACGGAGCTCTAGCTCTTTCGGAAGAAGGTTTCGGGACCCAAACTTCCGCGGTGGCTGCCCAGGGGCAACCTCAATAGCAGAAAGACTTCTTCCAAGCTGCGTGTTGCTCTGCTTGTTCTGGTGCTCTGGCTTGGCTGGAGGCCTCGGTCAGGAATCCGAAGAACACATGCAACCTCAAGGTGCGAGCCCTCAGCGACCTAACCCCAATCGCCCCTGTGCGCTGTAAGAGTCACTTGACCCAGCCACACCTAAACATGTCGAAGTCCAAAAACACCTGTTAAGATCGAGATGCCTTGTTTGAGGTTTTCGAGACGTCGCGGAGCCAAGACGGGTGATTTGGGATTCTCTCCAGATTCGAACTGAGGTTTTTCACCTTCTCCTACCTCATCCTTCTATCTGGGGCCATGAACGGTCCCACGGCCACTCTTCAAGGAGTCCATGAGTTGGCAAGGACACGCAACGAAGTCTTGTTGAAGCATCCATCAGTGGCATCCGTAACATCCTGAAGTTTAGGCCAATTCCATCAAGCCCCGCCTGCCCCACTCTGCCGTCGGCTCTGGGTTCTCCTGGGCTGGTTACCCCGAACCCCGATGACCTCCCACATGTGGGACCTCCCCAAGACCTTCTTTCCAACCTGCCCGCTTTAAGGACACATCAGCATCTGCAAACTCACGATCGCCTCGTTTCCACAAGCTGGTGTCAGAACCAGAAAGAACCCCTATATCCTGCCTCTCGATACATGAGAGGTGCAGATCGGCACCTGGGCGCCCCATATACCCAACCCTGAAGAACCGAGCATGCTGCAGCATGCTCTAGATTCTCCTTGGCCTTCTGCCGTCGCTCGCGGGCCAGCTTGGTGACCTAATGGGGAAGGATTGAGGGCGCGCAGAAGGGTTGGTCAATTTCCTTACAGCAAAGACAAGCTGCCTGTCGGCAATGAGCCGTGCCAAGCAATGTAAACAGGCGTCTTCGGCATTGGCAAGGCTGGATCTTTTTTTAACCGATGTGCGCATGACATGCCTTCGTGCTTGGCACAAGGCTGCCAGAGCGAAGTAGGCACCTACGTTCGCCCTAAACAATGACCTGACGTTGCCTCGGATGCTTCGGTCTAACCCAGCTTCTGCATACATTTCTACAGACCCCGCACTCCCCTCCGAGATCTCAGAAGACGCTTTCGAGCGATTCGTTATCCCTCTTGAAGCGGGAGGCCTCAGCGTCGGATTCCAGGTGCTTACTTCTTCACCCAACAAAGTGCAGATGCCTGTTTGCACGTACTTGTAAGCATGAGTTTCTCGGGGCTAAACAGCAACAACCTCAGGCACTCACTCGGAGTTGCGAGCTGACGCGGCTTGGCTTGGAAACGAGCACGAGAACACAGCAACACAGCTCAAGCGGAGCCGAACTGCTGACTGTCTGCTATTGGGAGCCGTTTCAAAAGGACCCCCTCTACCCTGGGTTCCAGCGGCATTTCCGGGCCACAGCGAGGCAGCAGCGGAGCAATCCCGAAGTGAGCCTGAATTCGGTTGTCTAGTTGCCCGAAGCCTCCCTACATATTTCTGCATCCTGAGCTCAACATGCTTTGCGGCTGCTGCATGTTTTGAAGCTTTTTGGCTACACAGCCGCAGCAAGTTTCCGACATCCCTCTGAAGCTTAAACCTCAGCTTGGGCGGAAGAGGGGGAAGGGTTGGGCCTGGTCCTTTCTTTCAAAAGGCCTCTAAACGACTCCAAACCTTAAGCCGCTTGAGCCGCCCCCCTAGTTGCAGCCGCGTGTCGGTCGAACGCAGGCAGGGGGCCAAACGCCGAAGAAGGTGTAGACCGCCTCTTCTCCCAGTCTTTTGTAAGGCTTCCACTGGGGCTTTTCAAGACCTACAAGTACTTCAGCTTTTTGGCTTTTTTTGGGGGCGGGGGGTGGGGGGGGTGGGCCTGGGGGGATGGGGGGGGGGTTGGGGGGTGGGGCCAAGTGCGGATGCTTGCTCGCCTCAGGCTGGTTGTCGTTTGTTGCCAAGGACATCGAGATGCCAACAGTGAAGCGGTGGAGGCGCGCACGAGATTGCACGAGAGAACAAGGATTCCTTTTGGAACGGATCCCCCCGCTCATTTTCGACGAGAGTCCTACACAACCCAAAAAAAGCCAGGCAAGAAAGGATTCTTTCTGCTCGGAAAATCGCGCCTCTGGGCTGTAGTACATGCCCAAGGAGTCAACGGCCACGGCATCCAAATGCGAAACCTGTCTCAGACACTGGTGATAGTTGTGTAAGCTTGGTAATCCCCGGTCCATGCACAAGTTGTCAAAGTTGCGTCGCAGATCGTCAGAGATGCTGATGCTCGTCAGGTCTTGGTTTACTTGGTTTTGTTGGCCTCACTTCTTTCGATTACTTGCTCCGGAGAACACTCGTGCCTCTGAGGCTCTGAGGCGATCATGGGTGTTCGTGCCGCTCACTTTTGACATTCGGATTCATCGGCCCTGGATCTTGATTTGATGACATTCAGGTGTTCTGAAGAGGAATCCCCTCCCACAGGCAACTCGCTGGAGCTAGAACAAGAGTTGCCACACTGGCCACTCGCTCGGAATAGTGGGGTAGCCTTGCTTCAACGTTGTTATTCTGAACTCCAAGCCATCGTGGACACCCCTTGAAGACTTGATGGCCTGGTTGCTTTAGATTTTAAACCATACTCTTCTCCTCGCCCGGTCTACTCCTCCCCCATCACCCGTATCCCGCCGCAGGGTATCCCCAGAGTGCTCAACCTTGGAGTGCCCAACCCCAGAGTGGCCCTTTTTTTGAACCCACGCTATGCAACTGCCTCAGACGAGAATGCGACTGCACAGCACCAGTGCATTAGCGACAGCTCTCAGCCACTCGTCAGGACAGCCGTAAACGACACCAAGACCCCCAGCTCATAAAGTGACCCTTGAACATGAGCAACATCAGGCAGAATCGTGTCCACGAGAGTCTGTAGGGTGGGGATTTACGGAGTCAGAGTTTCGCGCTTCGGGCTGCAACCTGCCTTGAAGGCTCGAGGCTTTAGGTTTCTAATCTTGGGATACAGCCCCATGACGTCATGTCTCAGGCATTCCGTTCCCATTTTGCAAGGGCTTTAACACTTTTGTCCACATTGCACACACGTCTCCTTTCGACTGTTCGACTCTGACTCTCGCAAGTGCGGGCGACCGAGGCTCCAGCAAACTCTTAGTCAGCCCCCCCCCCCCCCCCCCCCCCCCTTAGCTTTCCCGGTTTAAAGCTTCCTTACAGCCCGCCCTTCAAGCTGAAGCCAGGCTCACGATGGGTTCAACCCAGGTTCAACCTGGGTTGAACTTTGTACTCTCCCCAAGCCGATAAGACCCCGGGTTCAACCCAAGTTCGAACCCGGCCCGGACTTCAGCGCAAGGGCTTCAGAGTAACTCGAAGTTGCTCTCCGTATCTACACAATGACCCCACGCTGACTGCGAACTCCCAGGTGCACTGCTTAGACGGCCCTGCTGAGGAGGCGTGGCTTCCCAACTCTCTTTGCGAAGGTGTTGCGAGTAGTGCCTGTAATCTGAAAAGACAGCCAATTGCAGAGTAGCAAAGCTGCCTCATCCTCTGTCAACCGCCAGCCCAACGCGCCAGCATTCTCTTGTGCCTGGCTGATCAAGAAAGAACCACCACACGTTCAAGGAATCGGGCCAGAATTCTCTTGTGCCTGGCTGATCAACAAAGAACCACGACACATTCAAGGAATCTTCATGGCTTCGCTGCAGCTGGTAGTGCATTTGGTTCACGTTCTGCGCTCTGACTTGGTCTGACATCAATTGACCTCACTGCGCATGAGTAAATGTGTCTGGGCCTGCTCAACTGTGCGCGCGCCAGGAATTGGGATTGTGCCCTTGCAGATACACCTGGTAGGCATTCTGCTCAAATAATGTCATCTACATTGACTCTCTCATCTGCATTGTCAACTACAATAGCAGGTCGAGGCCAACTTCGAGATTGCAATTGGCTCCCGCAAATCTGGCTGTTAACCGCACAAAGCGGATGGATTCACTACTCCTCCGCATGTCGCCGCCATCCAGTGCCAAGGCACCAGTTCAGCGCCACCTGGCTCGAAAACTCTTCCCAAACCCTGAACTCCTGAATGCCAGGTTCAATATCCAGTTTATTTGTGGGTGGCATGGGAGGCCTTTGCAGTTTGTGAAGTGGGGACTTCCTCTCAAGAGAAAGGAGAAGCGAGGGAAGCGATGGCGGACGATTGTTGGGCTCTCGTAAGAACAGTCTCCGAGCGATTGGACGTTGATTGGACGTCGGCCATGGCCTTCTCCTGCTGTCCAAGTGTTGCTACATGGCAATGGGCTGGACGTGTCGCAAAAAGTTGCGGACGGCACTCTGAACGCGGGAAGTGCCAAGCCACATACTGCGAAAAGCTCCAAGATTCAAAACCTGCTCAACCTCTTTAGTCCTCGGCCTCTTTTCAGATTCGGGCAGAGGCCTTGAGAAATAAACAAATAAAAAAACACATGTATATATATATGTACATATATATATATATATATACGGGTTACTGGATTCGACGGGCGGGGGTTCAACTTCTACAATTCTGCCAACTCGCATTGCATGACTGCCCAGCCTGCAGAAGAACGGTCCCTTATATTGCTTATATTGTCCTGAGCATCTCAGGGTGTTCCCGGCCTGCGCCGGCGTCTTCTCGCGTGAGGTGGCGATGGCACGGACGACGCTCAAAGCTGCGACGGTCTCTGTCTGCAACGACGCGGGAGTTCACATGGTTTCGGTGGTCTCCGGCCCGTCAAAAGAAGTGATCTTTCTTAAGTTGTTTGGTGCAGGTCTATGCCATGCTCCATGGGCTGTGGCGGCTTCCCATGTCAAGTTTCGACTGCAGGCGTTCAGGGTACCAGGCTACGGCCATCGCAAACGAAGGCACAAGGCTGCCCAGGCTTGCGATCAGCGACCCAACCAAAAAAATCCCGAAACCCGTGCGAAACACCCAAATCCATGGCCTGCCGTCAACACCAAGGCCTACGAAACACAAAAAGCACGCTTCACACTCCGCTGGCCCCCTTGAAATCCTCCGGCTGCCACCTCCGTGAGGAGCTCCGTGGAAGGCTTGCTTGTCAGCCTGTGGCGAAATCCGAGGTCTCGACTTGGCGTGGTGCTTCTACACGCATGTTCAGCAGCTCAGCACAGCTGTCGGATCCAAAGGGCTGAGGTTTGAATTGCAGCATAACTTTGAATTAATATTTGATTGTTGAGATTGAATGCTTAAGAATTTACATGATTTATAATTCATTTTACAAACACATAAAGTGACCGATTGTTTGGTAAACGAATAAAAAATATACTTGGAACAATTGGAATAGCAAGAATCGTTGAAATATGCGGAAAGATATAAATGTCAGGAAGCAAAAACAAACCAAACATATAGACAACAATAAAATCCAAAACACACAAATTGTATGCCATGTTGTTATGTTTAGTAATTCCTATATTTTTTTGAATCGTTAAATACTTCTGTTCGTGCTGTTTAAGGTTCAAGCGCGAGTTGCTTCACATCACACACACACACACACCAATACACCAGGAACTCGCCCTCCACCCGACCTTTCTTTCAAGCACGAGCATGGAACATAAATGAGCAAAGGGTGGCTTCAGCAACCAAGCAAAAGAAGCTTAGGATGTCCCCTCCCCCAACTCCCTCCCCCTGCTGACACCTCCCTGAGGCCAGGGGCGCCCAGGCGAGGATGGTGACCCCTAGCTCCTCGCAGAAAGGAGGTACCGGGGCTGCCATGCAGCTTCAGGCCACCCGGCTTGTGGCCGCCTAGGAACACTAGGTCCTGCATAGTCCCATGCTCCTCTCCCCCTCCTCCATTTCTCGAAAAAATAGGATCGACTTGATGTTTGAAAAAGAGATGTCGGTTCTAACAGCTACTACTTTTTTGACATGCACAGCGTCACCACAAATCACACCCGATAAACGTAGGCCACGGATTAAGGGACATTTTTGGTAACCTTAGAGCTGTGTGGATTGGAGCAGAAGGTGCTGTACCTACTTCACAGGATATCGCACAAACTGCAGCTGCAAATAGCAAGATAGCTATTCCACTTCGATGGCGTTCGAAGAGTTTCCGACTATGTACGCCCTTCCCCGTCTCCTTGCAGGCACGCAGTAGCCCGTTCGTCTGGGGCAAGCAGCGCAGCAAGGAGAACTCGATCTCGTTGAAAACCTCAGCGTAGAATGCTCCCACTCTATGCCTCCATCGTCGGGACGATCCTTTCAGCGAGGGTGAATCCATTGGTGGAGTATCTAAGAGTCCACAAGTCGCGGTTAGCGATCCTTCTCGGATAAGGCAGCAAGATCTTCCTCAGGCTCTTTACACGGCCCTGTGCTGGACAGATGTATTCGCGCTAGATATTCGCTACACTGTGTTCCATGCCCGTTTCCCAACGGGGCCCTTGGTAAGGGTACCCTTGTGCGACCAAGGTGCCAGAGGGACTCCTCGCTCCTGCCTTCGTATCATGCCCAAGGTAGGACAGCTTCGGAATGTGAGCAGGTTTGAGCTTCTTGGGGTTGATGGTCGGCTGACAGTCCCAACGGGACACCTCTGTCTCTCTCGCGTTAGCACTGCAGCACAACGCCTTCCCAAACCACTATAGCAGCTGCCGAGGCACAGCAGCAAGTGCATTTCCCTCAGCGCTCTCTCATCATAGTTTGAGACGCCAACGTTGCGCACGAGGCCTGGACATGAGTTGAACCAGTTCAACCGAAGGGCATGTCTTACCCGGAAACGCAGCCCTCGAATAGACAAAAATGCAAGGACACCTGAAAGAACCCGAACTGCCTCTACTCCAGATTCTGAGCCAAAATGGGAAACTTGCTGGGCAATGGCCACGGGCTCGCCCAGAACGCTGTTGAATTTGGGAAGTGGAGCTCAGCATATCGAACTACTCTCTGGGTTCCATGGCTGCACGTGTAAAGCCTGAACAGTCTGCCTCCAACAGCTTGCATGAAAGGGCCGTCAGACTAACATTATGGAGCCGCTCCAATGGGGCTTCTGCAATCCAATCATACTCCAAAAGAATCATCCATGTATTCTTGTTCTGTTCCACCCGCCTCTGCTGTGCGCTTGAGCAAGCTGGTCTGCCAAAGCCGCTGCGCTGCCTGGTGTGACTGTGATCCCCCCCCCAACCCCCACCCAAACAAAAGCAGCTCGATCTTTGACCTTAAAGCCGAACTTCTAAGTTTTGCGAACTTGAAGACGTGTGGGGTGGGAGGTTTAGGCTTAGGGCTTAGAGTTTGGTGCCATGGACCCTGATCCTGCCTTTGGGGTGATGGATCAGAAAGCCATCCAAGGCGTCCATGCCGCATTTTGAAGCAGACTCCTCCCTCAGTTGGCAGATCTTGCACGCCGAACGCCGTTTTCGTGCTCCGGAAGAAGCACCAGTCTCGACCAGCAAACAGGAAGCCAAGGCCCGACCTACAAAGTGCCGAGCTGCAAGCTGGTGATCAGCTGCTCTGTATTCTTGCCCATGGCATCAAACTTGGAGATCACCAGGGCCTGATACAACACGAACCTGAGACTCGGTAATGAGTTGTACACATTTTCCAGACCTCCCCACTATGCCGCTGCGGCCTCATGAAAAACTATTGCTGCTGTCTTCGGCACAACAAAGACCCAAACTTGTGAGCGCTCTCCACATTGCAGGGCACCCGTACTAAGCCACGAAGCTGGAGGGCAGCAGTGTGCCTTCTCTCCGCCGGCGACCCGTGCACGAAGCTGCCCTGCCCAGCAAGGGCGAGGGCTTGGAGTCTCCAAATCTCACCAACCGGGCAAAACTGGTTTCCAAACTCCAAACAGAGAAGTCGCTCAAATGCCATCGCCGAAATGTCATCTCCAAAAAAACCTTCTCTGTGCTTTCGCTGGTGAGTTTGCATGGTGCAAAGGTTGTCATTCCAACAACAACTTCTTGAGAGTAACCATGCCTTCTTTCCATTTCGTACGGACTGATTGAAAACCTGCCAGTATGTGGCAGCATCGCCCTTTTGATTCCAAAAGCCCTAAGCTATCACCACTCTGCAGTTCCCCTTGCGAATGGTCCGTACAGTGCCCATGCCAGGATTCTCTCCTCTACCCCGATTCTTCGCCCACAAATCGAAGAGATCCTGCCTATGCAGTTCTCCGAAGTGCCATAGAGCTGTGCCGTGTTGAGCAAGGTCACGCCTCGATACGACCACAAGAAGGAGAATTAGATATAAAGTGGATGCCAAAAGCGAATCACGCAGAATCATCTCTTGGCAGCACGCCGACTCGAGAACTCGTAAACGGTTGTGAGAAGATTTGAACTCTGGAGTCTCGTGCGTGGCTGTTCTAGCTGGTTCTTTCCTGAGCCCGTGGCCAGCTGCTAGCGATGTTTCGAAAGCCCCCCGGATGTTGGGCTCCGAGAACCTCGCACGCAATTCGGGTTCGGCTGGCGAAGCTTGGGGACCCAAGAAAAGTCGATTCGCAGGAAAATATTCTCGCTGCCTTCCCCAGCAAGGCTTGCAAAACTTCTCAACCAGTCTGAGCCCCGAAGACAGAGGAGTTGCTAAATGTTGCGGTCAGAAGCTTCGCTGGGTCCGTGCCCCACTTGTTCGTGCCCACGCCCAAGGGCTGAAGCTTCAGAGTCCCACATGTCACCTGGCATGCGAAGAATCGGGGGAAACCATGGAGCGCCATGTCTTTGCCAAGCACTCTGCTTCGGCATTCTGGGAAGAAAGGGAAGCACAGAACGACGAGAAGGAGATTTTGCAAATTTACCTGAAATTGATGCAACAAAGGCACCTCCATGGCTCTAGAACTCTGGAAGTTCAGTTGATTGCAGTCACTGAGCTTGTGAAGTGTGAGGGTTTGGCTTGAAACCCGGCATCTACGCCGTCATGCGCCGAAGACTCGAACTGGCTGCGGGAGCATAATTATGAGACAACAAAAGACACGTCTCTGATGGAATGGCATGTGAACTGAATCGGTGCTTGAGCCCGGCAGCTTCACCTCATGGGTTCTCACATGTTCTCACCGTATCCTCTGATTTCCGGACAAGTCGTGCTGAGTCGTGCTGGGCTTTTGAAGGTTTGACCGCCACCCTGAGCCTGCAGCTCGCTTTCGGCTGCCGTATCTCAACCATCTGTTTTCGTTTTGTACCCTTCTGTATGATTCCACGCGAGTTGCTGGCTATGGACCTCCGAACCCGTCCCGAACGTCCCGAAGCCTGTGCAAAGCATCGGCCTAGAACAATTTCAGTCTGTCGATCGATGCAGAGGGTTGGCCGGGTTTGGCTTGATCTATGAGCCGTCTGGGGTGTCTCGCTCAGGAGGTACAAAAAAATTTCGCCCCGTTTTGCTCAGAACCCCACAGCATGCCCAGGGTCCGGGCATCGATCTCCCCAAGAAGCTCCTTGAGCCAATCGTCTGCTTGAACTTAGGAGTTTTCGGAGTTTTCGGAGTTTGGGAGCCTCAAGTTTGGGAGTTCTGGGGGCTCTGGCTCAGGGTCTTGCCTGTAAGACCAGGCACACTGTGCCCCATAATTAGGAGGCTGGGCTGCATCTGAGACATGTTCATTCTGTGACAAGCTGCAGCGTGAAAAACACCCACTCGAGAACCCCGACACGAAGAAGGCAACAGAAAGAGCGAGAGAGGTTCTTAGAATGTCTTTAGAAGCTGAAGCGGAAGATAGCTGCGACATGGTCTCAAGCGCAGAAGCCAACGTCAGCTCTCCTTGGTGACGGTGCCGCCGCTGAGATGCGATCCCTTATCGCTCTTGCCCTGTGCAAAGCCAAACATGAGACATTTGCGAAGAGAACATGAGAAAACACATCTACAGCTGTGGTGTGCACAGCCATACACAGTCTACAGCCATATGCCAAAGAAGTGAGCGCCACCTGGATGTCAGTGTGCTTCGGAACTTCGGAGATGGACCCCCCTTGTCACGTGCCTGACCCTGGCCGTCCATGATGCACGCATGCCGGAGGGTGTTCAGTGAGTGCTCCGTGTCCTGGCCATGGCATACTGCACTGTGGAATCGGTTCAGGGCTGCCAGGGCTCATGGAAGAAACGTCTTCGTCCTTCGCCACTAGGCAATTGTCCTAGCTGTCCTTTATAGGGGCCTTGACATCCAGAGGGATGAGTGACGTAACATACCTGATTCTGAGGGCATTGAGCGCCTAAATTGGTCCGACTACCGCCGGACCTTTCACAACCCTCTTTCTGGTTAAATTGGCCGTGCACTCGTTACTTCAAGATTGCGATGGCCAATGTTGCTCTCCGTATGCGGGGCGGATGTTGTGGAGATTCGGTTCCCAATGGGGGCGCGCCAACCCTGTTGCTTCATCGTTTCGTAAGTTACGAATCCTACACTTCTGCTTTTGCCCTGAAGCTAAGCTCCCGGTCTTGTGATTTCGTGCTCTCCTTCTCAAATTTTCAGGATCACAGACCCGAGCAAGCAAGGCAGTGTCCTTGCTGCTGGGGGAAACGGTGGCGATGACGACTGTGTCGTGATGACCACCTGACGATGAAGGAATCGCCGTCGCCGGGAACCCCAAGACAAAAAGGAAAAAGACGCCAAAACAACAGCATGTGCTATAGCGGCGCCGAAGCCCTCAGGCTCTCTCCCTCCCTCACAGACTCCACAACAAAGCCCTCGCCAAGCCTGAAAGGAAGCCTCGCCTCTTCCCCGTGCAAGCGCTTTGCGAGTTCTTTCCAGCTCATGCGCCATCGTCAGATCGTCAGATCGTCAGGCGGAGCCACAGTCTTTGGCTCCAGACTTGGCAGGCGTGTGGAAACTCTGCTTGGGTGCGTGGGCTCTTGTAATCAGGTACCAAGGATTTGCCAGGCGCCTGAATTGAGGGCGATCTGCGGCTCGGCCACGCTGAAGGATTCTGTACACGTCCGCCAGCAGTTGCTGGGCTGGAACCGGAATGGTGCCACCGCACTCCGTCGGCTTAGTCACTTGCATTGCCCTCATTGAGTTCAGCTCGGCCATCATTACGAAACATGTTTCGGAGGCTGGCACCAACTTCGCGACGAGATCCTACGGAACGAAGGAACCGTCTCCGATCAGAGCTTTTGCTGTCTGACCGGATGAAACTCTCATTTGGCATGTGCAAATAGCTGGACACTCTGCGCGGCGAGCGTTGCCTGCTTCAGCAGCGACTCGGCTGAGTCATGAGTGTCCGAATCTAGCATGGGGATCAGAGCTCCGAAAAATATCGATAGATGGTGAGCTTGTACTGATCTGGCAGCAGACTTTGTGCCTGGGCGCCGCAATTTAATGAACGACTGCCGGACAAGAGGGGGGGTCTGCGCGCTCTGTGTGCGTGTGTGTGCGTGTGTGTGTGTGCGTGTGTCTCTGTGTGGGTGTGTGTGTGTGTGTGTGTGTCTCTGTGTCTCTGTGTCTCTGTGTCTCTGTGTCTCTGTGTCTCTGTGTCTCTGTGTCTCTGTGTCTCTGTGTCTCTGTGTCTCTGTGTCTCTGTGTCTCTGGGTCTCTGTGTCTCTGTGTCTCTGTGTCTCTGTGTGTCTCTGTGTGTGTGTGTGTGTGTGTGTGTGTGTGTGTGTGTGTGTGTGGGTGTGTGTGTGTGTGTGTGTGTGTGTGTGTGTGTGTGTGTGTGTGTGTGTGTGTGTGTGTGTGTGTGTGTGTGTGGGGCTGTGTTTGTCTCTGTGTCTCTGTGTCTCTGCTGCCTTTGCACTCGCTTGTGGGCCAACCGCACAACACTGACTCTTCTTGTCTAGGACTACAACTCCGTACCTTGATCAGCGCACGACTGCGCATCACATTCCAAGATGCCAGAGCTGAAGGTGTGAGGAATTGGCCATCAATCGCAACCAAGCGGTCGCTGGCCTGGTCACATACTGGGGCCAACGGCGTTGAGGGATATGAGGTGCGGCCCAACACCAAAAACTCCGCAAACGAAGCATGCAAGCCGCAAGATACAAACAATGGCAGCTCCCAAGCCGACCTGAAAAGGAATCATGCGTATGGCAACTACGGGGGCAAGACTTTTCTGGCTTGCTCTAAAGATCTCTAGAGTTGTCTGCAATCCTTAGGCGGACTTTGTGGCCACAGGCCAAGCAGGCATGCCGCACTGCAGGGCAACATTTCGGGAGATGAGCCGTGCTTGAAGCACAGACGAGCTCATCAGATATCAAAGGGGAATGGGGACTTACGGATTGGCCGGGTCCGGGACTAGGTACGGTTGTCCAGGACTCAACCCACCACGGGACATCCTTCCGAAAGTCTGCAAAACTCGCACAACTACTTTGTTGTGGGCTTCGAGATCTATGGGTCTGTAGTCGAACTTCAACCCCCAGGCAGTGCCTTCACGTAGTCCACGCCATCTGTGCGATTATACCTCCTTGGTCACAGCTTAGGAGAGTATTCCAGCTGACATTGGCTTTAAAACGACGTTGATGTTTTTCAACAATGGCTTCAGTGTGGTTGTTCTGGTGTGCCTCAAAGAGAGTTCTGGGACTTATGAACTTACACACGAGCAAGACAGCCTGGGGATCGGCATAGAACCTCTCTGGACGCCCCCTCCTCAGAAGCAGCCCGATTCTCCCCAGGCCAGGGCCTTAACAAGCATGGATGCGAAGAACCGCAGTTTCGACAGTCTTCGAGCCTCCGGGGAAGAGTGACAAAAACTAGCCCTCATGCCAACATCTCGGCTATTGTCTTTGTAAAGACCTTAGGAACGCCAGCAGGCCACAGTATAGAGGAGAGGCATGACTTTTTCGGAGACTGTTGAAAAGCCAAGCATCGCAATGGCCCCAGAATCTTCAACACCTGTCTTGAATATGCAGAGGCTCTTGTGACCAGGATGCGAGGAATGGAGACTACGGCAATCTTGTGTTATCGAAACACCAGCCTTTCCGAAACTCACAGGTACGAATAGCTCATGCAGCAGACGCAACCTTGTCGCTCTTGGATGTCCAGAACCGATGCCGAGCACCCCCAAAGGGGTTCTGATTAGCCCCAGCCTACGAAGTGAAAGCATGACAATGATGACAATGACGTAAGCAGAAGGAGCAAACCTTATTCAAGAAGACCCCCCCCCCCCCAGGGTACCTCGCACCACCAGCCCAAGGTTCAACTTGCTGGGCGCCACTACGAGACCCAGCCTTGCAGGCAGGGTGCAGGGGGGACGGAATCGTGCGAGTTTGTGTATTTGCCGCTGAGCTTTCCATGGAAAGAATGTTGCAAAAAAAAGTGGTTTTGAAGGGGATTCAACACAGCTCCTTCAACACTGCTTTGAACTGCTACTGGTAGCTGCTCAACACGGCGCTTGATATCTTGATATATGATGCAGTCTATGAACAGCTTCGGGGCTCCAGGAATTGTGGCAAGAGACTGCTGGCCGTAGTAGCACAGAGAGCCGTGTTCTTTATTCTTTCTTATGTTCTCCACAGGCAAAGAGAGACAGGGGGAGTCAGAGGGAGAGAGAGAGGGAGAGAGAGCGAGAGGAGGTGCAGAGACGCAGGGACACAAAAGCACAAAAACGTAGGACAGGGCAACAGTGGTCATTCTCAGGATGTACACTGACGGTAAGTGAGGCTCAGCATGTTGGCACCTCGTATAATACACACGACACGACTTTGTGCCCAGCAAGCTGGAGAATTGCCTTGCTAGGTGCTTAGGTTTCGGGTAGACTTGCACGTGCAAGGTGCAAAGCCAATCCGAACTGAGCAGCAGCGTGAGCATTCAAAAGTCTGTCACGTGCTACGCTGCATGATTGAACTTTCTTCGCCGATATGTTTGACTTGCATGTGACGCGCAGACGTGAATCGCGCAGCAGAGGGTCTTCCGCCCACTTCGCTTGATCTCGACCTCGATGGCCTTGTTGGGAGCAAACAGAAGCACGCCGACATCATGGCTGGAACCAGACTTACAAGGTTCTGAACCTACAAGCAGAACGCAAGCTATAGAACCTCAAACTAAAACTAGGGCACAGGGTTTGGAGACCCTAGGGCCCTAGGGTGGGCCCCAGCCCGCTTTATGGGTCCTCTAATGCGGAGACCTATGCTGCAAAGGCGCTTCTATCCATTTTGGCAGCTTGTTTCGCGGACCCTCTTCTTGGGGTAAGACCCAGGGAGCAGACAACAGAAGGAGACATGCGAGCCGACACGCATAGGGGCTCAGGGATTTGAGGGAAATCTGGAGTGATTTTGTTGCTCACCGTCTCCTATGACCTCAACCTTAGATGACTGCAACCGGAAGAAAGCACTCGGGAATCAAGACATGGCGCGGTCGGCCGCTCCAGCTCCAACTCTACCTGCGGCAGGGCCAGGGCGCAGGGCGCAGGACATCGCGGACTTAGAGTCTTAGAGTGTCCATGCTCCAAGTATACGGAAGCAAGACGCTCACAACCCCAAGGGTCTATTCGATTTACTCGAATGAACCTACGATTCAGGGCGCAGTAAGACATGAAAATGAGCAAAGGGCTGAAGCTAAGGGTCATGCAGCCACCCCTAGAGCCTCGCCACGGCAAGTGACCAAAGCCTCGACCAGCTCCTGCGCTCTTTGGCTGTAGGGGCGCCCCCAGAATTACATAGGTGCCCCCCGAACAAGGACCCTCTGGTACAACCCAGTGCTACACATGCTGGGCGCTTTCTTGGCGGTTTGGAGGGGTGCGTCTCCATTCTCCAGCCAGCAAGTGTCAGGAACCCGAAGTTGTTTCACGATGTCTCCAAGTCGCGACTTGGTGGTGTTTTGTAGTCTCCTTGCTCGGAGCCGTCTTACCATTGACGCGGCGCAGGCAGTCAAACCTCGAGGGGGGGGGGGGGGGGGGGGAGGGCTCTGCATCATCTTCATCAAAAAGCGGGTCTTGGAAACAGGTCTTAGAGAGGCGTCGTGGCCGGGGGCTGCAGGGCTTTGCACCTCAAGAGAGGTGATTTGCGCCAAGCGTCCGCCGAACTCGCTCGTGATATGGTGCAGACATGTTCCAGGCTGCGACTTGCCTCCGCTGCGACAAGTCGAGGACAAACTGGAACATTTTAGGGGAGCGCAACATACAGTCCAAAGAGCATTGTTTCCCCGACACCCTCCCCCCCCCACCCCCACACCCCCTTGCCTCCCTCACCTGCCTTTTGCACTTCTTGCAGGCAAGATGCCCCGCGTCATTCACAGCGCCGATGAGGCCTAAGAATGCGCTTCTCCTTGTTTTTCTCTTGCGGTTGACCTACTTCTTCCCTCCAACCTTATACCACGCACGGCCTAGCACAATGCGAGCCATACTCCTTCCTTTCATGCTCAGGCTGCGATTGCGTGTGTGATGGTCTCTGTGTGTGTGACCCCAGTTCGGCCCAAGAAACCCATCGCTTAGCAGGCTTTGCAGGGTTGGCTTGAGCATGGCAAGTGTTATTGGTTTCCGTCTCTAGGCTTGAAATAGTTGAAAAGGTTTGCAGGTTTAGGGGTGGCAAACGACACCACTCCAGCGCCTTATGTGCGGCAAGGCCCTGTATTTCAGTCAAATCAACCCACGGAACCCTCAAGAACTCCGAACTGCTTTTTCAGCTCTTGAACCTTAAAAATGCGCAAAGCCCATGATTTGCGAACAGACGGGTGCCTCACACATCACACAGCCCACACCCGCTTTGGGGCCAAGCAGTTGAGCGGGTCGATAAGCTCAAACTCCAGGCCGAACTGCCTCTCAGCCGAGCCATCCTTAAAGGGCTCAAGCCGAAGCATGAGCTTTTTGGCATCTTCAGGTCTGGGAGAGGCGTTGCTGGTGCTGAAAAAACCTCGGTTTAGGAGATGCATACAGTGGAGCTCAGTAGAGATACCTTCTTCTCCCACTTTTGCTGCCATGAAACCAGGACGACTATGTACCGCACACCTGGCATGATACGAGAACAGGGGGAGCAAAGAGAAGTTCTAGGCTTCAAGGGCATTTTCAGGGCTTCAACTGTAGTGGTGGTCGACGGTGCCTCCCAAGACGACAAAGGCTCTGGCAGGGCTACGCTGCTACACTATGCTACACTATGCCACACTATGCCACACTATGCCACACTATGCCACACTATGCTACACTCTGCTACACTGCCCTGCACCTGGGCAACGCATGGCTGGGCGGCCCATTGAGGCAGTGGCACCCGACAGGTTCATGTCTCGAGCCTCGGAGTTGCAGATCAGAAATGCCACACACACATGTTCACACGTTTGCGCAGCAAAAAAAAGGGCCATGTCATGGGCTACTCCGAGCTACTTAAGCTCGGAGATGACTCAGATGATCCTAAGCTGAATCTTCACACCTCGAGGTTTTTTTCGTGCCTCCGGATTTGTCCCCACCCCCTCCCCTAAAGAAGTCACTAGACTTAAGGTGAGCCGCAGCCTGGAGTCGTCTGTCCTTGCAATGTGATATCTTGCGCACATCCACAAGCTTTCGGGAGTTTAGCAGCTCCTCAATTCCAGGCGGTGTTGCCCATACTCGTAATTGCGGCTTAAAGAGTGATAAGCACCATGAATCCATGAAGCATGCCGGCACCGAGGCTCCTCGTCCTCGTCTTCGGGATGTGGCATTTGCTCTTTCGTAGGTTTCCTTCGAGGCAGAGGAACTGCGACAGAACCGCACTGGACACAGGGCATGAACAAGAAAAAACCCAGAGCGTCAGAAAGTCATGCTTTCTCTTGGAACCTCCGACAGACCATCGAAGCAATGACACTGCTTCCCCGGCGAACTTGACAAAACTCTCTTGGCAGCCCAGGGTTCTGCATCTGCGGTGTGAGCTTCACCACCGGCACCGTTTCCTCCGAGTGCCTGTCCTGGTTGTCGCTGCAGCAGTTCCTGAGCACAGAAGCTGAGACAACCTTTACACAACCCTTTTCACCTCCCAAGACCAGAAATCGACAAAAGCTATTGTAGGGCTCGTTTAAGGGCTTTGGCTGGCAGCATGGTGTAGGCTAGACGTGGCTGATCAAACTCTCTACCTGGCGGCGTAAAGAACGAATGCTTGGAGGTACCTGCTGAGCAAGAGTCGTCCAGCACCAATGTCGAACAAGTACCCACAACAACTTGGGCAAAACCAGGCTGACGTGACGGACGTGTACATCGAACAGCTGTAAAGGCAAGTGCGCCCAAGACATTCCAAGACCCTCATGACTTGAAATTCCTTCCACTGGCATTGCCGGCATGCGTCAGCAAGGATGGAAACGAGGAGGTGCAACATTTTGCCATGGCTCGTTAGGGAACGTATCAGGATTCAGGAAAGGGTTGAAGCGAAAGCCTAAGGAACTCAGTATAAAGGCAGTGTGCACATGATCTCCTCGCTCTGTTGATATTTGTCGGAAGACTCTGCAAGTTCAAACCATTCCGGTGCACCTTGGAGTACACCTAAGGTTCCATGATCTCCCTTCATGCATGTACCGTACTCAGCCGGTGCTTTGCAACGACAGCGCGAGCAGAGCAGACAGTAATCTAGGACTCTAAGGGTGTAAGTTGGTGGGCTTAAGCGCTCTAAGCATTGCACAAGGTAGCTCACACACTTACATGCTCCCGCCTGTGAGACGCGTTCCTTATGACTCATGAAGCTGGGCGCTTCATATCCCCTAAGCCCACCGAAGCCTTCAAGAAAACCATACGAGTTACAGAAATTCTCAGCATCTGTCAATTGCGGTTCGCAGTCCAAGCCTGGGAGAAAGCATCCCCTCAGGAGCTGGGTCAGCCGATTCTGCCGGAAGGCAATAAACTTCGAGTTCGACGCCCTGGCCTCCCAGTGAGGTGGTAAGGTTCTAAAGGGGGGGAGGGGTCAGTGGGTGCTTGGGTTTTGCCTGAGCTTTCGACTGTTTGAGACCTGTGTGCTATGGCGCTTTCCAAACATCTCGCAGGTATCTGCCAAGGTGCTCGAATGCATTCTTTGAGCGCCGCCAGTGAGGCGTTGATCTTTGCCCCTTCTTTCCTGGAGCAGCGTGGCTGATCATGCCAAATCCAGACGTGCTGGCAACTCTGGGCAGCCGATGGATCGAGCACTCGATCAACTTCGCCGGCAATCCTTTGCAACACACGCGAAATGCCCCCCCCCCCCCCCCCCCCCCCCCCCCCCCCCCCCCCCCCGCGCCCCCCGCCCCCCCCAAGCGATCCCCTGCGCCTACGCTCCGCATTGTGCTCTGCGTTGTCCTGAGATGCCAGAGGGTTCTTGGAGGGACGCGCATGGGTTTCTTCATTGTTAGGCCAATTGAAAAAACTCGCTACCACAAAGTATGCCTCATGATGGGCACTTTGCGAGTCTTCCTCTGGAAAGATATGCAGTCACCAACGCAAACCAAAGCCCCCCCTGAAAGCAGTCTTAGACAACTCTTCGCCAGTCTGGCTTTGGATCGGTGTTGGCAAACAAGGGTGATATTGATTCTACTTCCAGAGGTTGTCGGGACAAGTGCGCCTACGTTGCCAGTTCGTGTGTCTCTTCTTTGGATAGGACAAAGCAACTCAGGGCCTGTCGAGGCTATGTCGATCTACACTTCTCTGCGCTAGTCTACACCCTGGAGCACGGCGCTTGTAGCAGCTCGGCGTCGATTCGATGCTCCGAGCCTGCCAGGTCCACCAAGGTCACGGAGCCCTCAGCACCTGGAGCTGAGAAGCTCATGGGCTCTGCTATGCTCTGCTCTTCGTGCGTTCGAATCAGCTCGACAGACATCAGATGCCCAGCAGGAAGACTCCCATCTGGAAGAGTTACATCGGAACAACAGCCAGAGCATTGGTCAGCAGCCTTCTCCGCAATCCACGAAGATGCGGCAGAGCCTGTGGGTGTAGAAAGTCACATGCTGGACAACACACATTTGCCACATCCGCATGCTGCTGAAGATTCACTGAGCCAGGCGCGCGTGAGATCTGGAGGACTGATCCTTGCATAAAGGATTGCTAGCTTTTAGCAGCTGTGCAGCAGCACAGGCTTGTGCAAGATTAGCCCTCGCAATGCCCATGTTATCGTTATCTTCGGAATTTTCATAGGGATGCCATGCCCTCGAACTGCATCCCGCCAAAAGGGAGCGATCACATTCCGGCACACAGCGGCCCCCACGCGTCTTACAGTCTTACGGACCTCAACTGCTCGTGATTGGGCCTGGCCCTCAGGGGGGCCAGCCTAGTCGGTGAAGGTGTCACACAACATGTTCGGCCAGGTTCCTCCCACTAGCGCTCGATTCTTGAAACAATCAGAGACTCCCTTTGTGGAGACAACACAAGCACAACACGTCACAAACCAAGAGGAGAGCAGGGGCAAGGGTCCGCTGGGACAAAAGCTTTGCATCTGAATCTTCTGTTGTAGGTGGCAGGCATGGCAGACGGAGGCACGTTGCATGGGCGAGGGAGGTGTGCAGCATATGGACTTTGCCTACAAGACAGTGCGAGAACGGACGAACGTTCGTTGGATCGCAAGGACGCAGAGGGGTGAGTGGCCACAATGCAGCATGCTGACCCTCCGAATTATGTCCGAGATTCATGAACACCAGTGGCTGCTGTAGCCCGGAGTTTACCTTCTCATGCTGAAGCTTTTTGGGGCATCATGTAGAGCAGAGGGTCACTTGGAACATGGGGGTTTTGAATGGCCCAAGGTTTCACAGTCGCTTTTCAGATCTAGTGCTCATGCATCGAACTGCTGCTGTCATTTGCTACGGGTGACTTCGAATGCCGAGGATGCCGACCCTGCTCGGAGCTTGAACCACGGCCAATATTCATGAACAAGTATTCATGAACAAATTACGAGCGCAGAGCCGCAGAGCTGCTTGGCCTGAAACCCTGAGACCAAAATAATCTCACCACCAAGCGCCGTGGCTCAACAGAGTCGAACTGGTTCAGTGCAGCACGTGTAAGCAGCAAGGCTTAGTAGGCTTGGCGTTAAGGTTTAGTCTCTGCGGGTCTCTAAGTTGCTATGTAAACTCGCCATGACATGACGCAAGTCAGCTTGGGTCTGGCCCGCTAGACACCCCAAAGCTAAAGCCACCGAACTCTGCAGAAGATCCCCAGCTGCCCTCCTAGAAATTTACCGTTCTCGGCCTGCGAGCTCAATCAGCGCCAACAGCTCCGCGGCACTCACTACCTGGCACGCGTGCCAAACTGAGCACTGCAAGATGACGTTGAAAACAGCCCTCGGGCGACGGTTGGTTGTCAAAACTGGTGAATCTCGGACCACGATTTTTTAAACGACGTTGGTTTCGTGAGTGTTGCTGCTTGGTGCATCAGCAGTGCAGCAGGCGGGTCGATGGGTGTTTAACTCTGCTCCTTGGAGAGAGTTAAGACTTAAGTCTTGCCAATCCAAGAAGATGCAACATGAGCTACCGTAGCGCACCAGAGCCTGAATGGTGCGGCCGTTCATGACGATCCAAGGAGTTGAGCTGAAGAACTCGTATGATTGGGATGGAGGCTCAGAAACCCGGCAAGCCTACAGGCCTCAAAACAGATCACGCGAATGTCTTTTGACCGATACGGGTTTGCGCCGCTCTAGACTAGAGGAGGTGGGTTGCCACAGCCCCCTTAGAGGATGTGAGCGAAATAACTGGGAGCTTCCAACTCAAGCCATCTCTATCGCGATCCTCAATTCCCAACTTTGCAACATAAGCTGCAGGCGAATCATGATTGTGGCAAAGTGCTTGCGCGACAGCCATCTAGATTGCTGGAGTGTGTAGCTCCCCAACGTCGCGCTGGGTTCGAAAAGCAGAAAGCTCTGATTGTCAGAGAGCTCCAGGGTGTGAGAGCTTGGCTTCCCCCGCTCTCTCATCATTCCAATTGGGATGGGGAGTTTGAGACCATTCAGGATGTTCCGGTGCTAGGGTCCCTGCCATGACAACGGGACGCTATTCCTTAGAACCCCTAGATGCCTGAATTCGTCACGCCTTGTTTTGATGCTAGCTCTCATGACCATGCGTATGATGCCGGATGCCTCATGAACTCGGATCAGAAACCCTCAATGCACATACTCTCGATATATTATATTCTGGCTATGATTCTAGAACATAACATCCAATAGAACATGCAAAAAAGGTGGGCCCAGAGCTCTCGGATCGGCAGCCTTCCATAAAACACAAAGGCATCAGGCAGGCTAGCGGACATCGCTGGACATCAAAGGGCGCGCGGAAAGGATGCGCGGGTTGCGCTGGTGAAGTCCCCCCGAGAGCCCGGCCGGTTCTGGGCTTGAAGCTTAAATTTCAGAGGGCTTCTGCAAGATTCTTCGAGGCTGGGGTGTCACCGAAGAGCCTCCAATAGACTTGTTCCAAGTCACTGGCGAGTGGCGAGCTATTTCAGTTCAATCCGCCTTTCGCACTTGGCCACCCATGCATGGTCCAAGGCTAGTTACGTGGATCGCGCATTGTTGCGCATCATGGCTTAAACTCCGAGAATCGAGATCCCAAACCCCAACCTTCATGCCTCGCAACAGCGCATGGTGTTCTAGAGACTCTTTGCACTTTTATTTGAGGCTTTGCCTCTCGGGACGTCTGGCGACGTCTGGAGCATGGTGGCATGGCCGTGGGCCAAACTGCCCTGAGGCTGTGGTTACGAAGAGAACGAATTGAAAGTCTGTGCCTGATCCCAGCAGGGGAACTTCTAGGCACAGGCCTTCCGAGCAACTGTTTCGCAGCACCGCGTCAGCCGATTCTTCCCGCATGGTGTGCCCCAGATCTAATTCGGGATTCGGATTCCGGGTATAGGCTCTTCGGGGTCCTCTTTAATACCAAACTTGTCCTCTCATCTCTGACACGCGGTGAAACCTGCAGGATTATGCAGAATAGACAGGCCCATGTTGGTGAAACCGGCCATGGTTGTATTTATGTTAATGATCCCTCAGAAGCCGAAACGCTCATTAGCTCATTAACTAGCCGTTGACCTCGGCAGCTCCCCTTCAAGGCCGATTCCGTGAAAGTCCGGTGAGCAGGTAAGCCGATGGGCAACGAATCCTCCTAAGTCCTCTTGATCGCAAAGTCTTCCCAAGAAAAACGCTGTATGCTGACCACGACTTACCCAAGTCAAATGCGGAAGCCATCAGTCAACGCCTGTGACGTCCGCCTCTTCCTGAGCTCAAGTGCATCCAGCGTGACCCGTGCGAGGCTCTACTGTGACTTGATGGTGTTGTGGACCTCACTTCATTGGTCCGGATACATGGTTCACGCACCGCGCCTGGCACTTAGACCAACGTACAACTGGAACTCTCTCATTTTCAACACTCCCTACATCTCCCTACGCTCCCCGACTCACTTGGAGCACAGTCGCTCTCAGTTCCGGCTTGTGGTCGCTCTGAGCGCCCTACTGTGCCCTTATGCCTACTATGCTTCGAATAAGGCTTCGATTTAGGCATGACGTGCTGAAACATGTTAGTAAAGTGTCTCTTCTCGGTTTGCCACCACTACGGCACTACGTCACGTGAAAAAGAAGTGGCCGAAGTCTCTTCGGAAGGTGCCACCGAGCCCTTTCCTACCGACACACCTGCAGTTATCTTCAGCGAAGCATCTCTTGGCGAATCGCTCGGTGCAACTTCTTCAAGTGCCCGAGCACTTCAACTCGGAGGCTGTCGTTCTTGGCCTTCATTTCAGCCATCATGTTCTGGACCGCTTTGGTGGCCAACCTAACTTCAGAGAAGAAGTACAGCAATGCGGGGCAACTTCAGCTGCCCCCAAATGAGAAGGGCAGAGCAGGAACGCAGCAACCGAACAAGCGGAAGAACGCGTGAACCACCGGTCATTGGCATGAAAGGGCGAGCACTTTGAACCTCTTAATATGATTGCGGTGGCAAGTCGCAGTGGCGCGACGGTGTCGCTCTTCTTAATCTCGCCGCGGATTTTCAGCAAGCCATGAACAAGCTCTGACGCCTGCTTTGAACACAAGCCAAGAATACGCCAAGACATGAGCATGCATTGACAGGCGCAGCGGAGTTTTCCAGGCTGGGTGGCACTGAACATTGATGTGCAAGGATTTGAGGCGGGAGTTGGGATGCGGATCTGGGGCTTAAACTGGTTGCTAAGAATATGCAGGTTCACGCCACGTGATTCGACCAGGAATTCACAGCTGAGATCGCGATTCCCAAACCAGCACTGCCTGCTGAAGCCGCAAAGTAAATTCCATAAAGGTCTACCGCTGGCTGCACTGGGTCTTAAGCTGCCTGCAACGTGCCGCTGCCATCGGCATCGATGATCTCGAAGAGGTGGGCGCCTAAAGTACACGCCATCGCAGGCCACAGAGCGAGAGTGAGTCCAAAAACACATCTCTCCACGTCTCATATATCGTTTTGCTGCAGTAGACGCGCGTGAGCGTCGCAAGGACGCTGTCGCAAATGGGGCGAAGGCCCTTAGACCTCTTATCCACCACAAGAACCGCGGATTCAATCTCTCTTGAAGTCGCTCCTTCCCCTTTCGCGCTGTGAGTGAAATGCTCAGGTGAGGAAAGGGCAAGAAGGTTATCTTAACATGCATCGCATTGACAGCCAAGCAAGGAGAGAGGAATCAGGCACCAAGTTCCGGGAGGATTTCCTTGCATCTGTCTTGGTGCAAACCCTTCAGAAGGAGGACCAGTTTCCGTCCCCCGTCTCCCCCCCAAATGACTGCCATTCGAGGCACGCTCCGGTGGAATGTCCAACTCGTCCATTAATGCATGGACCCCACGATCCTCCACATGGTGTAGGGATGCCCAGGGTCAAAGGTGGGGTCACGTCAATCAGATGACAGGAGCTCCCCTATAGCTTTGGGCTTTTTCTCGGGGCTGCAAAAGGGACCTAAGCAGTGCAAAGCGCCAGCCATGCCACAGTGGCATTTCCACGTATCGTCTACAATGACAAGCAATTTTAAGTTTCAGTTGCAGAGTCCTGGATGCTTCTCTGTTTCCAGAGCTTGGTGGCTTCACATGTGGGTTTATTAATGAGGAAGCAAGTGCCGAGCACTTTGCCAATGGAGCACGCTCCCCACTGTATCCAAAGCGACTGTGAACGCCCGGGGCAGGCTCTTCTGCTTGCAGTGTCCTGCAGCATGATGAGGAAGAGCTCCTTGTTGATTGCAATGTCCTTTCCGAAGGAGCCATTCATGGACTCCGCTCAGCAGTTGCCGGCCCAACTAGCACAATTCGAAGACTTGTCTGACAATTCTCCTCTACGCTTCAGTTCCTGACCTCAGAGCTATCCTGGAAGAAGTGCTGGCACGAACTACGCTGAACGCCGACCTCGTGGAGCTCGTCGTCCGTTAGAAGCGAGGAGTACGATGCTTGGTTTAGGCTGAGGAAGTCCACGTGGTGGTCTTCCGTCTCATTGAACTGGTGGTGGGCTGCAGCAAAGCCTGAACAGCACAGGTGAAAAGCATCTGGGCGAAGGCTGCCAACTCACTCTCTCTTTTGGTTCTTGGGTTATGGGTTGTCTAAACAAAAAAAGGGTGCTGGTTGAAGACGTTGACTTGGAAGAGCGGAATCCGTACGATCTAAAGCAACCCTGGCCCAAACCTGCAACTTATGAGGAACCAACGCACGCTGCTAGAGAAAGGACCTGCTACCGAGTACTTTTCTCACTGCTCGGACCGAGAGGCGTTTCAAGAGCTCACGGGTGCAGCGGGCGATGCGGAGCGACTCTCGCGAGTACTGCTCCGCATTCAGGGCATCATTCTCCTGGTCCGAAGCTGCGCATTGCGGCATTGGGCTGAGACGTGGGTATTTTTTGGGTCGAGTCTTTGGGATGCAGGACTCTCTTAGTGGGCTTGGACCCAGAAAGACACAACAATCGAACAGGGCTCGTCGGCTACGCCTGGCTACGCCTCTGGAGCTCAACACCACAGCTCTGAAGGCAAACCAAGGCCCAGAGTTGTGTGCTGACGCCCTGGCAACACTACGAAATCTCAGATGTTTCATGATATTTCAGCACACAAGCTTGAAGACCTCAACGCTGAGAACCCACACCGAGCAAAAAAAACCTGCATCACTACATCTAAGCCTAATCGCGAACGCCATGGACGCTCCAGCCTTGGCTGCCTTCATGGTGATGTCCACCTTCGCACAAATCACTTGCAAATTGGACTAATCTTCACCCCCTTCCTCCCCGCCAATCGAAGAACTGATTCCCTAGCCACCAGACCG